AGTCACCATTGATACATTTAGTAACCAGTAATATATTTAGTCACCAGTGATACAGGGTGTCACCATGCCAGTGATACGTCTAGTCATCGGTGATACATCTAGTCACCAGTTATAAATCTGGTCACCTGTGATTCATCGGGTCCCCATTGATACATATATATATAGCTAGTCACCAGTGATACATCTAGTCACCAGTAATACATCTGGTCACCAGTGATAAATCTGGTCACCAGTGATACATCTACTCACCAGTGATACATCTGGTCACCAGTGATACATCTAGTCACCAGTGATACATCTGGTCACCAATAATATATCTAATCACCAGTGATACATGTATATATATATAGCTAGTCACCATTGATACATTTAGTAACCAGTAATATATTTAGTCACCAGTGATACAGGGTGTCACCATGNATCCATGCCAGTGATACGTCTAGTCATTGGTGATACATCTGGTCACCAGTGATACATCTAGTCACCAGTGATACATCTAGTCACCAGTGCTACATCTGGTCACCAGTGATACATCTAGTCCCCAGTGATACATCTGGTCACCCGTGATACATCGATATATAGCTAGTAATCAGTGATACATCTGGTCACCAGTGATACATCGATATATAGCTAGTAATCAGTGATACATCTGGTCACCAGTGATACATCTTGTCACCAGTGATACATCTGGTCACCAGTGATACATCGAGATATAGCTAGTAATCAGTGATACATCTGGTCACCAGTGATACATCTAGTCACCAGTGATACATCTAGTCACCAGTGATACATCTGGTCACCAGTGGATACATCTAGTTATTTAATATTTAGTTACCAGTGATACATCTTGACACCAATGATACATGTACATGTACATCTGGTCACCAGTGATACATCTGGTCACCAGTGATACATCTAGTCATCAGTAATAAATCTGGTCACCAGTGATACATCTAGCTAGTCACCAGTGATACATCTTGTCACCAGTTATTTTGGTCACCAGTGATACATCTTGTCACCAGTGATAAATCTAGTTATTTAATATTTAGTAACCAGTGATACATCTGATCACCAGTGATACTTCTAGTTATTTGTGATACATCTGATCACCAGTGATACATGTACATCTGATCATGGTCACCTGTGATTCATCGGGTCCCCATTGATACATATATATATAGCTAGTCACCATTGATACATTTAGTAACCAGTAATATATTTAGTCACCAGTGATACAGGGTGTCACCATGCCAGTGATACATCTAGTCATCGGTGATACATCTGGTCACCAGTGATACATCTAGTCACCAGTGATATATCTGGTCTCCAGTGATACATCTAGTCACCAGTGATACATCTAGTCACCAGTGATACATCTAGTAAACAGTGATACATCTTGTCACCAGTGATATATCTGGTAACCCATGATACATCTAGTCACCAGTGATACATCTTGTCACCAGTGATACATCTAGTAAACAGTGATACCTCTGGTCACCAGCAATACATCTGGTAATTATAACCAGTGATATATCTGTACTAGTCACCAATGATACATCTGGTCACCAGTGATACATTTAGATCTAGTTATTATATATTTAATTAACCTCGGATACATGTGATACATCTGGTCATCAGTGATACATCTGGTCACCAGTGATACATCTGGTCACCAGTGATACATCTAGTCACCAGCAGTGAGACATCTGGTCACCAGTGATACATCGATATATAGCTAGTAATTGATACATCTAGTCACCAGTGATACATCTGGTCCCCAGTGATACATCTAGTCACAAGTAATACATCTAGTCACCAGTGATACATCTTGTCACCAGTGATACATCTAGTCACCAGTGATACATCTAGTAAACAGTGATACCTCTGGTCACCAGCAATACATCTGGTAATTATAACCAGTGATATATCTGTACTAGTCACCAATGATACATCTGGTCACCAGTGATCCATCGATATATAGCTCTGTACTAGTCACCAATGATACATCTGGTCACCAGTGATACATCTAGTCATCGGTGATACATCTAGTCACCAGTTATAAATCTGGTCACCAGTGATACATCTAGTCACCAGCAGTGATACATCTGGTCACCAGTGATACATCGATATATAGCTAGTAATCAGTGATACATCTGGTCACCAGTGATACATCTAGTCACAAGTGATAAATCTGGTCACCAGTGATACATCTGGTCACCAGTCATACATCTAGTCATCTGTGATACATCTGATCACCAGTGATACATGTACATGATCATGGTCACCTGTGATTCATCGGGTCCCCATTGATACATATATATATAGCTAGTCACCATTGATACATTTAGTAACCAGTGATACAGGGTGTCACCATGCCCGTCATACATCTAGTCATCGGTGATACATCTGGTCACCAGTGATACATCTAGTCACCAGTGATACATCTGCTCACCAATAATATATCTAATCACGAGTGATACATGTATATATATATAGCTAGTCACCATTGATACATTTAGTAACCAGTAATATATTTAGTCACCAGTGATACAGGGTGTCACCATGCCCGTCATACATCTAGTCATCGGTGATACATCTGGTCACCAGTGATAAATCTGGTCACCAGTGATACATCTCGTCACCAGTGATACATCTCGTCACCAGTGATACATCTTGTAACCAGTGACACATCTGGTCACCAAATGCAATTATACATTCAAAATATTGAACAAAATCAATCCCAAATACACAACACAGTTAAATTAATTGTATTTTTACCACGTCTTGTACACATACACATTTTCAATGTCTTTAAATCAAAGAACTGAACTATGTTCTATAACCATTCATATTGCACAGCAATTAAAAATAAGACGAGTAAAATAAATTTTACATTTCTTGTATTTCAATGTAAAAATCCATGAAATGAAATGAATATATATATATAGATTTCATCAAGTGTTTTTTGTTACACAATTTGCATATAATGGCAGTATGAAGCTGTAAGAACTATAAAAGCTACTGATGAACAAGCCTTAAATATAATAGGAAAATGAAAAAAGAAAAATCAGAAGTAGAAAACTAGCTATCAGAAGATACTGAGGTACATATGCTCAAACATCTAAAAAAAAAAAAAAAACAGAAGTACGTCAGACAGGACAGCAGAATCAGATGGACAGTATCTTTTTTACTTAGAAATTATTATAAGAAAATCAGCCGTGGAAGTCTGCAATTTGCATTATTTGGTTTGGTAGAAAATAAATATATAGCCTAAACTGAACTTTGTTCATTCCACAAATTAAAGGAATACAGATGTTGAAAACAGTATTTGTGCCAAATAATGCCATATTAGAAAATTGTTGAATCATGAGAGCACTCGATAAAGTTAATGATTGCTGCAGTTAGTACTGGTTCTCCTCAATCCAGCCTTTTATTCTGCTTGGTAGTGGAAGATGTTGGATATGATCATAGCGAGTGTACTGTCTGATAACAAATCTACACAGATACTGTAATGATCGCACTTGGGTAAACCTGGACATTGGTTTTGTGAGTCTCACAGGGAATGACGGAGCCCTAGGGGATCTTGATCGGGAATAACAAAATATCCCAGTCTGGGAGTCGTTCATGGAGTGCTCAATTAGATCAACAATAGAAGGATAACCCTCAGTGTCTGGTTGAGCATAGAAACTGAACATTCCATTACAATGCTCAATACGTGTATGCCAAGTCCTTCCATAGGATCTGAAGCTTAGACTCAACAAGTACCGTTCATCTGAACTATCACGAACAAGGAAAGCACCATCTGGTTGATTTGCTAGTTTATCTTCCGCCTCCACACGTGTTATAGGCCCCCAATACCAACCAAACTTTGAAAGCCTAAACAACTCTTGCGTTAAACTCCAAACTTTCGGAGGTTCATCCATATCTAGCAAGTCTGATTCAATAGAATCTCGAGATTGACAATTTGAAAGATCTGCCATCAGTCTAGGGTCCTGATACGACACTAACGCACTTACATTGAGACAGCTGTTTCTACTGATTGAATTGACATCACAGTTATTTTTAGACATTAAATCCAACTGTAGAACATGAACACAATCTTTTTGGCTATTTCTACCACTTTTTATTCTTTCTGTTGTATGAAATTTCATAATATCTTTAGAGCGACAGCTGGCTTTCTCCTTTTTGGAACACAATTCATTGGAATCGGTATTTGATTGGAGATCAGTCAGTTTCTGTAGATTGTTGGGTAGTATGTTTAGATCGAGGCTGTCATAACTGTGCGAGGAAGAGTTGGACTTGGAGGGTATGTCACACAGAGCCGGTTTCCTCTTGCTCTTCACCTTACCCCCTCTATTTCCTTCACCCTTCACCCCCGCAGACATGTAATGTCCACATTCCAAGTCCTCGAGTATGTTACGACCATTGTCGCCTTCATCACTCTTTTTCCGCAAATTAGTCGTAAGCCTCCTTTTGAAGCTTTTAAGAATACCAAACTTCTCTTTTTTTCTATTTTCCGTCGTTGTATGTTCTGTGTCTGCATAGTTTTGTTGTGACAGAGTTTGTGAGTCACCATGTTTATCACCGCTGTTCTCACCATCCGTACTCTCTTCCTTTACACCTTGATTTCGCTGCCGGCGTTGAAACGATTGCCTCATTCCCTTAAAAGTAATCTTCTTCATCATCTCTGTGGTATGAAAAGAAGTATCATCGTCAAAAAGACAAGCACAGATGTTCGTGAAATGTCAAATTAAATTGCAGGTATTCCAACTTTGGGTGATACCCAAGTCATTCTTTCCGCATGCGCAATAACCTTTTCCGTATTGTGGGTTTCAGAGCTGCGCATATTTGTATATTTCATTGGATTAAATTAAAATATTTTCTTTAAAAAAGTTATATCTATATATTATAGCGTTCTATTTTTATCAAATGTTTCGCTCATCATTAATTTAACCTATAATATTTTTATTTATTCATTAATAAATCGTTTCTGCGGACCTTAATTGAATGGCCGCCTCCATGGATTCGGATGAAGAAGATTCGTTTGTCTCTTTGGGCAATGCTTTAGAACAAATTAACGAAGGTCAGTGAAAGTAAATTGGAGAAAATTGCATTTAAGTAAATTTGGAATGAGACTGCATATTTCTTTTTGTTAGTCAATGTTACATCTAATCAGGAAATGGGTATTTGTGTGTGCCGTTTACCGTACAGTAAACGGTGTACAGACGTTTCGGTACTCGGGTCGTTTCGGTTCCGCGATGTTTCAGTACTTGTTTTTAGATGTGTCACTCAGTATTTCTAAAAGGTTGTTATAAACAATAGGCCTATGGGCAGGTCGGGGAAAACCACTCACGTATAATACGCAAACTCGCCTATGGGATAATGGGTATGGATTTGTTTGTTACTAAAAAAAGCCAAAATCACTTTAATCTTAAATTTTTCATTTTTTTTGTCCAAATCGCATTAATCAGTCATAAAACATAATACAAATGCAAAAATAAACTTTATTTGCATGTGGGAAAGTACCAAAAATAGATGCAATACTTTCGGTAAAGTTACATCAAGTTTTTAAGTAGCCAACACTTTCAGTAAACATCTTTTAGCAAAATATTATTTACCTTGTCGTAAATTAATGCGATTTTTTTAATAATATCTTGCCAAAGTTACTGTTAAAGCGATTTGGGTTATTTTTCGTAACAAATCCATACTCCAACTGGCATATAATAGGCGAGTTTGCGTATTACGCATGTTTTACTCATACTTCTAAATGGTAATGACCAACTTCAACAAGTTGAAGATAATGTCATGAGGGAGAAAGAGATTTAGTCGATTCCGAGAAAGCCAAAATGATATATACATGTATATAAATTTAATTTTGAGGGTACAGTGACAGGAGAGCAGATTTAAAAGATTCAGTAGTAGAACAGGAGGATATGATATCTGGTGGGATCTTATTCCACTCAGATATTGACCTGGGAAAGAAGGATTGTTTTCTGACCTGGGTTCTGCAGGGTGGTATTTGGAAGGATTGGTGATGGGCATGCCTTGATTGCCTGGTTGCTGGTATAAGTCTAGTGTGTTTACTAATAGCTTCCTAATTGTTCACAATTTTGAACATCATACATAGGCTTGTGTTTCTGCGTCTGTCGGCAAGGGAACACCATTTAAGATGGTTCAACATATTGGAGGCACTGGATGTTCTATGAGTGTAGACGTTTTTGTATGTAACGAGCAGCCCTGCGTTGTACCATTTCAATCTTATTGATGTTATCCTGGGTGTATGGGTCCCAAACAGGACAGGCATACTCTAGGGATGGACGGACTAATGATTTGTATGCCTGTGCCTTAACTGATGTTGAACCTATTTTTAAGTTTTGACGGAGGAAGCCAAGTGTTGAATTTGCTTTGTTGGTAATAATATTTATGTGGGAGTCCCATTTTAAGTTAGATTGGATTGTAACACCCAGGTATTTTGCTTGGTCTACATGTTCGAGCATATGCCCATGGAGGATGTAATTATGGATAATGGGGTTTTCCCCTTGTTCACAGACAACACATTACACTTGCTCGGGTGGAAGGCCATCTTCCATGCCTTTTCCCAGAGCACCAGTTTGTCCAAGTCTTGCTGTAGAGTTTCAGCATCACTGTTATACTTGACAACTAGAAAAGCGATAGTGTCGTCTGCGAACAATTGCAAGTGGATGGTAGCGTTTAGGCCCACAGGGATGTCGTTCATGAAATAAAGAAATAAACTTGGTCCAAGGACCGATCCCTGGGGCACACCAGAATGGATGTTGACGAAGTCAGACATTTCCCCCTCCACAACTGCAGATTGCTTTCTGCCAAGAAGGAAATTCTCAATCCAGTTTATTACCCTTCCTTTTACACCATAATACTTTAGTTTGTGGATGAGTAGGGAATGGCTGACTTTGTCAAAAGCCTTGGCGAAGTCCATGATGAGAATATCACTTTGGCTTCCTTCGTCAAGGCTTCTGGATATGTTGCCGATGAATTTGATCAACTGACTTTTGCACGATCGAAATTTGCGAAAGCCATGTTTATAAGAAATAAGACATGCATCTGTTTTTAAGAAATAAGACATGCATCTGATCCAAACTGAGTTTGAGTTCCCTCCCCTTGCTCTTATATTACCCTACAGGGCGACGAAACAGAGTATAAGATAGAGAACATTTCTAGAAATACGTGTTATGCCCTACACCTGCGTCAATGTACTTTGCTGGACATTTCCACTGGAGGGTGTATTTAGACTTGTGCCTGACCTCTGCCATTTAATGCTTCAAGAGACTTTTTACCAGTAATAATGGCTATTTCTGTATATACGTATCTCCACTCACTCGATGCACATATGTACATATACTGGTAGTTAGTTCTAATTAACCCTGTACATAATAACTGAGATATAGGTTGTTTAAACTGTCTGTCTCTCTTCACATTATAGTTCACCCAAACTTAGTCTACAATGATCCTTGATTAAGCTATACTTTCCCATAGACTACTCAGCAAACACTGCAACACAGACTTATATAGGGTACATATATGTCTCCCACTTCAGCTATACAGCTTCTAACCGCCATTCAAGTATAGTGTATCTGGCTTCAGAACCAACATACAGCTTCACGAGCTGGTTCTCCTACAAGAGGAGGGAGTTACTACTACTACTACTACCACTATGATGTAAACTGCAGTAGCAAAAGCTTAGTTTGTCAATGTTGGCATGCCTGCAAAACCTCCACTGAACCCACATTGGGATGAGGATATATTTTATACACAGTAAAATGTTTATAGATTTTTAAAGTTATGGTACTTTTACCCAGTAGATAGTCATTTACTATTTGAGGTACTCGGCCCTAAAATTAAGTATTGAAACCAAGTGCCAAAACATCTCCTCAAAATAAAGAAATACCTATTTGGTAAGTACCAAAACATTTTCTCCTAGTACCAAAAGAGCTGGGTGCCGAAATGGTCGAACCCCAATTTTTCCATGTGTTTCTCTTAGGAGTTTAACCACCTGACTCATATTATAAGTGCATTATTTGCAATGCTGATGGAGCTCAAAGGAAAATTTCAGTAATCAGAGTCAGTAACTAGCAGTTTTATAGCTGTTACCCCTCTGAGAAGATGTCATCCTTCCAACAGTTTAGGAAATTATTGTGCCAAGGTCCCTTTGTGGGTGTCCGTGATACAAGCTCTAATTTATTTAATGCTGTCAGAACAAACATACAAATCACTGGAACAGATAAAAATATAGCTTTAAGTACCTAACTGAGATTTCAATTTACTATGTTCTGTTGTTATTCAGCATTTTCTAAATTTTGATCTTGAGTATTTGCTGCCTCAGATGAGTCTAGAAAGAAGCTGGTGTTCGCCCAGGAACAGGCAGCCAAGGACAGCAGAGGGCGTCCTAGGTTCCATGGAGCCTTTACAGGAGGGTTCTCTGCCGGACACTTCAACTCTGTGGGCTCCAAGGAGGGTAAGTTGTCAGGACCTCATAATCTTAACCACATGCACTTCCAGTCAGACAACAATTTCCCCATAAAATGTTGTTCATGTTGGCCTTTCTTAGTCTAAGTGAAAGCTGAGGATCATTAGATGTGGAAGTAACCTTTAAATTCATGCAAACAAAGATATGCATAGTGGTATAAGCAGTGGTATAATAAGTCACTTGGTGTAATTTATTATTTAAACAGCAGATTCATCTCGTATACCTATCATAGCCTATATCAGACTAGCATGGTCTAGAGTATAATCCACTTGATGTTGTTCTGTCCAGGTTTCAGACCCTCAACATTTGTGTCATCCCGGATCAAGAATCCTGAGGATGAGGACCACGCACAAAGGCCGGAGGACTTCATGGATGAAGAGGTAAATGTAGCACTTTGGTGGAAGGCCAGATTTAACTTTAGCTTTGTTTATTATTTGTCATGAGGTCAAATAAACAGCTTGCATTTTTGGTACATGTATCACATTATATTATTGTAACTTTTTGTGCACTCACAAGTTATTTAATTAATTAAAATTCTCAATACATAAAAGAACACATATATTTTACGAAGGACTCTTACAAAAATGGACATATGGGCCCACAGATTGTTTTGTGACAACACCAAATAGATATAAATAGACCCAACCCTTCAAATGTATTATCATTTAACACACACACACACACACCCCCCGTCTCTATAAAATATCTCCAATAGAATACATACTGGCAGCTTTGATAAAACTTAGAAAAATAGTAGCTTTGTTTAATGCTTGTTTTCATTGTAATACATGTACTGATGATGTTCATACCAGGACTTTGGGGAATATGGTATAGCCCCACGAAAGCTGGTGACTGCAGGGAAATTTGGATCACAAGAGAGGAGAAAACGACAGCTAGATGAGGTCAATGTGATGACATCTGGGACACTGTTCAGTGGAGAACCTGCCCTTACCGACCTTATAACACCAGAAAGGTAAGACACATTTTAGTGTAACACCACACTACAACCAGTCTAGGTTAGCTGTGTTTTAAAGTATTTAACCGTGGCTGAGTCCAAGTGTACTGTTTGAGAAAAGTATTGTTTGTTAGTGGCTGAAGAGCTTTAGTGTGATGTGTGCTTGACAGCGACAAAGCTACAGTGTGCTGTGTGAGATAGAGCATTTTTACTGTGGCAAAGAGGAACTATCAATGATATAGTTTGAAGTTTGGTGAATTTATAACTCTATGTTGCTTTTATGTTTTGTAGGTTGACTATTGGTATTCGACTTTTGAGAAAACTTGGATGGAAGGAAGGTCAAGGACTAGGCCCTCGTGAGCGAAGACAGAAAAAACGGACAGTTCGCTCCAAACATGTGTTCAGTAAGACTTCATATGTTGAATGGCAATGTAATCTACTGAAATGTACTTCGAACCCTTTAGGCATTTTAAAAATATATTGAGGTTATATTTCATTGCTTAAAATGCAATACAAAAAATGTTTTAACACCGTTCCGATGTATACTCAAACCAAAATGTTTAGAGTTAATGAGTACATTGATATTGATGATTCACCATTACTTCACACAGGGATTGCTAACAAGACATATGGCTGTGCTCCTCCTCTTGGTTCATCTGCTGGTCAGGACAGTGTAAGTTTGGATAACCACATATTCAACACTCAGTTTTTATTTACAATATTGCAAGCCTGCACATTCAGTATTTCTGGTATCTGGCATACAAAGTATGACATATACATGGCATCTCCTGGCTATATATTGCATGACTCAATAGGATAAAAATGAAAATATACATCAGTTGCAAATGTTCCACATATTTCCCGATTATTTAGATTCAGTTTACATTGCCCTTTCACAAACTTTTCATTCTTCTTAAAATTAGGATTTTTTTATATGTATATTATTTTCAATATTGGAATAAGAAGTTGAATTATTCTACATTCCATGAAAATGAATTGTTCTCCTTTTCCTGGCATAAAGTGAATATAAAATCCTAATTTTACAAGTCTATTGAACATTTAATAAAAAAAACATTATCACCTGATTCAAAACAGAGATGCAAGTTTTAAGAACTGGCCTGACACACATTTAAGTCTGTATTAATTTTAAGGCTTTAACATTGAACCTGTTCTCTGTTTATTTAATGTCTGAAGCCTCAGAATTTACCAAGATACTGATTCTATATTTGCAGGGCTCTGGAGAAAGTGAAAATGAATTTCCAGAAGATGTAACTTTTGCCCCAAAGGACACCACATCCATTTCCTTTGTTGCTAAGGACAATGAACATGGACTTGGTTACAGGGGCCTTGACCCCAGGGTGGCCTTGCCCTCAACCCATATTAATCTAAGTGGGCCCCCAAGAACCTCCAAAACTGGTGGCATGAGAGGACATGTAAGTTAGCCTGTATTCTGCAGTGTAGGGTTAATACAAATTAGTGGATATATTACATATTCTGATATGATGCTACCTAGAGGTGAATGCTTGAAGAGGTTCTACGGTATCTAGTTTAAACATAACATCAACTGCTTTATCACACAGAGTATTGACATCACCTATTGTTTCAATGATGTCACAATTACTCAAAATTCCCAAAGTATGTCATTCATAGGATGTCTACCTCACGTCGATCTAAATGAAGGGATGGTGACCTGCAAAAGTTTGGCATTCTGAAGTCTATACTGTATGTGTGGATCAGTTCAACATGCCAGAATGTTTTTTCCTGATTTTGCCTTTATTAATAACATAATTTTTGACAATTTTATAGGCATTTGGAGTGGGTGCCCTAGAGGAGGAGGATGAGGACATTTATGCTACAGATCATTTATCAAACTACGACATCACCATGGACATAGACGAAGGCAAGGAAGATCTGTTTGGCTGGACTGCACCAGGAAGGAGCAAGGGAGGTAACTCATTTCTTTGATAAGAATATGTATTAGAGCAATCAGAGTATAAACATCTAATTGACAGAACACCAAACAACATTTTTACAGGTGATTACATTAAACTCCAGCTTGATAATGTAAATGTATCATAAGGTAATACTGTAGTTATGTGAATTAGCAAATATAGAGAATAATACAAGCCTTTCACCATATCACACTCAGTATCAGCCCGAGACTCGGTCCGAGGGCGGATATTGGTCGATGGTTGATACTGGGTGAGCTATGGAAACAGGCATGTTTCCTTGTGTTAATTACATATGTACTAATATAATACGGATAGATCTACTATGTTATGATCTAATTTTCTTTTGAAATATTGAAAAACGAAAAAGTTTTCCCAAGGAGTGTGATACAGGTTTTGAGGGTTGATATGGAGAGGGCTGATGCAGGTTTTGGGGTGTGATATGGCAAAGGCTGATACAGGTTTTGGGGTGTGATACGGCAAAGGCTGATATGGGTTAGAGCAACTGTGTCGTATTGCACAAACAAAAAACTTATTAGTAAGTATGTAATAAACTATTGTAACATTGAGACAACTTTTGTCAATCTTTGCTCCAGGTAAACAGACAACCCCTGTGGGTTACCTTGGGAAGGTTTTAGAAGGTTTCACACTGTCCACTAAAAAGTTGAAGGCAAAGAGAGGTTTTGGTCCTCCCAACATTCCGAAGGACTTCAGACCGATACACAAGTTCCAACAGACATCACAGTCTATCAATGAACACCTTCGTCAGGCACCTCCAGCTTTACAGGGACAAAGTGACCGTCAGAAAACTAAGATGGATGCTGTGACTAGGGCACTGACGCTTGGCGAGTCACCACTTACTGGTCAGTTTAGCATTATTGAAAAGGAAAGTCAACAATATATTGCCTAGTCCAATGTTCACCCTTCGTCAGTAAAATCCATATTCCAAATTAGGAGTGGGACGACTGGTTCGCCCGTTGACAGAATAATGTGACCGGGTGGGGCGTCCTGCTGGGTGTCTTCAGCAGTATGTTTCAGTGAGGTAGCACTATAAAGTCGGCATCAGTTCCGCGCTATTACAAGAAGACAAACACGAACATATCGCAGCCTCCCAAAATACACACACATACACTACACGCATGCATCTTGCACACAGGGGAGGCCGTCCTTAAATGACCTTAGCTGTTAATAGGACGTTAAACAAAATCAAACAAACAAACAAACAAATAATTTCACCTTTCAAATTTGATTATTATATTTACTACATTTGTATATTGATTACTATTGTTTGTTGTTATGATAAATTTGCCCTTATTACAGAGGGAAACACATTTCCTGGCATACAGTATTTACAAATGGCTCCTTGTTTACTGCTTGCTGTATATTACCTGTATTCTAAAATATATTGTGAATGTTTAGACAGGTATATACCCGTAATTGTTTACTTTTCTCATTTGAAGCATTGTCACAAATATAAGTATAATATTTGTTACACAACAGTAAACCCCCAGTCAGTAGCTATAGGAACTAGAAAACTTTTAAACTAGGAAATAGAAATTTGAATTATCTGAATTTGACAATCATATCCAAAGTGGTATACTACAATATATGAGAAGATGTGTTTCGCTGTTCACCAATGGTTAGAAAATTGTTATTTCAATAGCATGTTAATATCTGAAAGTTTCATGTTGGATTGCAGTGATTTTTTTATTCAGTTTTACAGCCAAATACAGGCTGTTTACCTAGCTAAAAAGTGCCTTATTTTCCCAAAATGACCAAAAAATTGAAAATATATTCCCAATTTCAATAGATGTAATCCAATATTTTCCCAATTCATAGAGGAACAGGCTGTTGTAAAGTTTAGGTAAAAAAAATACTGGATTGCTACGGTCCTCATTTTTCAACATCAAAATGAAAAGTATGTGTTCCCAGTTGACCTCTCTAGTAAACCATACACAGACTCTGGAACAGTACATTAGGTCCTTACCTTATGTAGTTGGACAGTTGAACCATACACAGACTCTGGGACTGTGCATTAGGTCCTTACCTTATATTACCTTATATGGCAGTTGGACAGTTAAACCATACACAGACTCTGGAACAGTACATTAGGTCCTTACCTTATATTGCCTTATATGGTAGTTGGACAGTTGAAACATACATAGGCTCTGGAACAGTACATTAGGTCCTTACCTTATATTGCCTTATATGGTAGTTGGACAGTTGAAACATACATAGACTCTGGAACAGTACATTAGGTCCTTACCTTATGAAGTTGGACAGTTGAACCATACACAGACTGGAACAGTACATTAGGTCCTTACCTTATATTACCTTATATGGCAGTTGGACAGTTAAACCATACACAGACTCTGGAACAGGACATTAGGTCCTTACCTTATATTACCTTATATGGCAGTTGGACAGTTAAACCATACACAGACTCTGGAACAGTACATTGGTCCTTACCTTATATTACCTTATATGGTAGTTGTACAGTTGAAACATACACAGACTCTGGAACAGTACATTACGTCCTTACCTTATATTACCTTATATGGTAGTTGGACAGTTGAGCCATACACAGACTCTGGGACTGTACATTAGGTCCTTACCTTATATTACCTTATATGGTAGATGGACAGTTGAACCATACACAGACTCTGGGACTGTGCATTAGGTCCTTACCTTATATTACCTTATATGGCAGTTGGACAGTTAAACCATACACAGACTCTGGAACAGTACATTGGTCCTTACCTTATATTACCTTATATGGTAGTTTGACAGTTGAACCATACACAGACTCTGGAACAGTACATTAGGTCCTTCCCTTATATTACCTTATATGGTAGTTGGACAGTTGAGCCATACACAGACTCTGGGACTGTACATTAGGTCCTTACCTTATATTACCTTATATGGCAGTTGGACAGTTAAACCATACACAGACTCTGGAACAGGACATTAGGTCCTTACCTTATGTAGTTGGACAGTTGAACCTTACACAGACTGGAACAGTACATTAGGTCCTTACCTTATATTGCCTTATATGGTAGTTGGACAGTTGAAACATACATAGACTCTGGAACAGTACATTAGGTCCTTACCTTATATTACCTTATATGGTAGTTTGACAGTTGAACCATACACAGACTCTGGAACAGTACATTAGGTCCTTACCTTATGTAGTTGGACAGTTGAACCATACACAGACTGGAACAGTACATTAGGTCCTTACCTTATATTACCTTATATGGTAGTTGGACAGTTGAACCATACACAGACTCTGGGACTGTACATTAGGTCCTTACCTTATATTACCTTATATGGTAGTTTGACAGTTGAACCATACACAGACTCTGGAACAGTACATTAGGTCCTTACCTTATATTACCTTATATGGTAGTTGGACAGTTGAATATGTGACATAATTAAACACTTACAGAACTTTTTGTGAAATTGGTTGGCAATACAAAAATAGGCTATCATTATTCTCTAGTCCAACATTTTGTCACTAAAACTTTGATGTATTGCAATTTGCAAGTGTCTTTAGTAAGATCCCAACTTTGTGTTTCTCTGTTTACCTATTATCTTAATATGAGACACAAGTCACCACAGTTTAACTTGTAAATAATGACTGGCAAATTCACTGTTGAACAACTACAGGGGGATAAATCACTTTCAAATAAACATAAAACAAAGATGAAATTATACACAGTTTAACAATTTAGTTGCACAGTATGAAATTGCATGTCAATTTTGTGTTATGTGAGTTTCAGAGAAATTAACAAAATTAAGAAGAAAAAACATTTTGTTTCAGATTGTGAATTTATCTGAATGTTACTTATGACATTACAATGGCTGTTATAGATATTACATATAATGTGGTACAATTCTATTACGCTGAAGTGAGCCATGTCATATGATCTTTTTTAATAGGTTCAGTGTTTGACCTGATTTCAACTAAGGATAGAGCGAAGATGGACACAATGAAGTCCACCACTCAGTGTCCTGATCGAGGGACGACTTCCACCTCCTCAGATGTTGCACACCCTAATCAAGGGCTTACCAATAACCCTTCTTCAATCAGTTTCCAAAGCCATACAGGTCCACAGAAAAGTCCACAAAATGACCCTGTAAGGTCAAGCCAGAACGAGGCAGGATCAGCAGAAGGTTCACTTACGGACCCAGCAAGTTCACATCAGCCATTTCAAGGGGGAAATATTGGTTTTAAGCCTTTTGCCAGAGATCTAGCTAAACAGGAACGCTATGACAAGTATCTTGCTATAAAAAAACTAGGAAAACCAGGTATGTGATGTCAAATTACCTTACAGTAAATATAATATTGGCTACAGTCAATTTAGACAAAATTCCATTAATTAGCACCTGTAGTTAAAGAAAATGTTCAGATATGATTCTAATGAATAAATAGAATCTGTGAAAATGAAGATATGATTACATCTGAATAATGTACAAGTAAGATGTCAAAAATTTAAGCCCTGATTAAGTTCTATCATACATGAAAAGATGTTCTAGCTGTTACATCTGTCAAACGGGAAAGTAAAATGATGGCATCTGTGTCTTGATACGAATAAACCCTGATATTGACGATTTACCTACAGTCATTTCACTAGATAGTTGACCATCCATTTATTTCTGGAAATGGTCTATAAAACTGTAAAATGCACAAGTTGTAATATTGTACATTTATTGAAGCAAGATCTGCTATTATAAATTTATTATGAAATAGTCACACTTAGTTGTAAAAGTTAACATGGCCAGTAATGGCGATGTACTGTATGATTTGTAAATCTTTTCATAACTAATATTGCATGCATTCTTATAATCTCTGTTTTACCATAGTTAAAATGTATGTTTATGAAAATTGGAAATATTCATTACTCAAGGTTTGCTGGAATTGTTTGTATAGATGCTTACGAGGAGGTGACCAGTGGTCACATGACTGAGTGGGACCGAGGTCGGGAGAAGGAAGAATTTATCCGTGCTTCAAAGCTGTATAAACCTCTCCCAGGAATGATGGCTTCACGTTTCACAACTGCCAAGTACGATGATAGCACTGACACAGTGGATGTTCCCAGGGATGAAGGGGTCAGTGAATTGTTAATTATGTTTAGGTCAAGGTCAAGGTCAAGGTCAAAATTAGAGGTCAAACCTCAAATGTCTGTACTCAATGAAAGCTGATAATAATGCGTAATTTCCTACCAATTTTGGAAATGTATTGTATTGACAAGGACTGTTCAAATTGCTTAATTTTGTCATCCAATACTTAAATACAATATAAAAACAAAATACTTTTATAAATGTATTAAATATTGACACCATTCTGATTTTGCTACTAGAGAGAAAAGACTGACCAGATGAAGGCTGCAGAGATGAAGATGTATGGCCAGCTGACTCATGATGAGTTTGAATGGCATCCACACAAACTGTTGTCCTGGAGGTTTAACGTCCCTAACCCCTATTCTGGGTATGTATTAGTTTGTCCCGACCCTTCCTAACACAAACTGTTGTCCTGGAGGTTTAACGTCCCTAAACCCTATCCTGGGTATGTTTTAGTTTATCCCGGCCCTTCCTAACACAAACTGTTGTCCTGGAGGTTTAACTTCCCTAACCCCTATCCTAGGTATGTTTTAGTTTGTCCCGGCCCTTCCTAACACAACCTGTTGTCCTGGAGGTTTAACGTCCCTAACTCCTATCCTGGGTATGTTTTAGTTTGTCCCGGCCCTTCCTAACACAAACTGTTGTCCTGGAGGTTAAACATCCCTAACCCCTATCCTGGATATGTTAAACTTGTCTGGACACTTTCTACCATTAACTGTTCTCCAGAATATTTAATGATGACGATCCATATGCTGTGTGTGTTAAGTGTGTTCTGATCATTTCACCCACTAAAATTCATCCTTGAGGGATTCATCATCCAAAGCCCCTTTGCTATGTATGCTCAGTGAGCATGCTCCCCAGCAATGGGATTTAATTATCTCCCTTTACCCTATCTCATTCTACAAATGAACTCAAAATATTTTTTTTTACATAAATGTATATCAGTTATGTTGCTAGATTGTTCAAATTGTCACAATAGAGCCACTTTACATGCCACACCCAGGAGTCAAGTTTAATGTTGAAGTTTATTTATGGATGGATTGGTTTAGCTACTTGCCTTCCTTTCAAAGGGTTTAATTATAGTTGCCAGTGCAAGTAAAATTTTCAGAAATATTCATCTACCTCTAAGCTTGTTATTAGGTTTCAGTTTCTTGAATCACCTTTCTCTAACATAAATTTCCCATAAAAATGCAGTGAAAAGTTTAAAAAAGAATTTTCATGAGACAGGAGTCTGGGCTTGGTATCAGAATGGTCCTGTGGATATATAGGACTCAAAAACCTAATGCCCTGCATTTAAAAGAATAGAAGACTTCAGGTGCTACACAACTGGACACTTCCTTCAGAATCTATACTGACAGATGGAACATATTAATGAGAAGAGATGACAACATCAACTGGGATATCAGCAAATTTAATCCAGTGCTTAAATGTTTCATCAGGCCGTCATCAGAACAACGTACAATTTTCAAAATGGATGGAACATAATATTATATAAAATTCACATTTTCAAATTTGGGGCCCTGAGACAATAAAGTGGTCCATCTTTATGTCCAATGCTAGCCCTCCCATTCTCTGGTATTCAAAAGTTCAACGTAGACAAAATCTCACAAAAAATGTAATCCAGTACAATTGCAGTACTTGATTATATGAGATACAATGTGTACTTTGGTTTCTAGAAGAAAAGTGTGTTTTTAAGATTTACAAAGTACAAATTCATATGCAATTCATGTTCTGGAAAGCTATTCCATATAATGAAAATACAGATTGTAAGTTTTCCAGATTGAAAAAAAACTGGCTTAAAGAGATTAACTGTATTTCCTAGCAGAGTATACTCTAAATCATGGGAGGTGGTGTAGACAGTTGGTCATTATAGACAGGTTTCTAATATTATGAAATAAACAATTGATAAACCCTTATAACGAGACAGGTGATCTGTAAAGGCCTATGACAACATATTGCTTTGTATTCTCTAGGTCCTCCATTGTGGGGTTGCCCACGGTGAAGCGGGACAAGTACTCTGTGTTTACATTTCTGAACTTCTCAAATGAATCTGAGTCACCAACCTCACAGGACATGAAGGCTTTGCCAGCCCCTCCTCCTCCTACTGAGCCACCCACAGGTAGGTACTGTTACCAGATTTGGAGACACCCCATATATCTTATACCTACAAAACAGACATGCCAGCCATTCTTCTTCCTTATCTATCCATATTGAGGTACGATTATACAAATACGAAAGCCCCAACTTCCAAACAAGAACAGGCAGTAAGGCTTTGTCAGTTTATCTTATTCCTGATCCACATGCAGGCATGGTTACTACATGAAAATTAAAGGGGTGTCTCTGATGGACATCTTTAAATTTAATCAATGCTTATGAATGTGTATTTTCATTATTCATAAAATGGGATTTAGATTTTGAATAAAATTAAATGACATCCTCAGAAAAGTGTTGTAATGTTTCTTTAGAAAACGATTTATTTCATTTCCTCAGGATCCAAACCGGTGACCTTTGACATCAAAAATCGTTCCAAGATGACTGCTCCTCTCAAATCTATCTTCAGTGACCTGGTGGACACACCATCCACTTCACAGAAACCTGCCACACCAGATATACAGGACACACCAGATACACAGGAATCACCTACAAGTACCACACAAAATATAGAACAGGTGCCGAAGTTTTACTTTCACTTGTACAATGAAACCTGTGTGTAATGACCACTACCAAAGGGAGAAAGAAAAACTGGTCTTAATAGACAGGTTTCTAATATTATGAAATAAACAATTGATGAACCCTTATAACCAGACAGGTGATCTGTATAGATATGTTGACTGTATTACACATCTTATTTTGTCACTCTTCTGAAAGAATATCTTGAATTCCATGGGTCAAGCAAATGAAAAGTGCAAAAGTGATTGTGAACTAATACAATGAATGTATGTTGCTAGGCGACTGAGGGTGGGTCTATCACTTTTACCACAGAGTTCAGTTTTTCCTTTGTAGCGATAGTTCTTATGTTGATCTGCAAAAAAAGAAAGTGATTACATTCATTTTATAAACCAAATATGTCTGGACTAAAGGTAGTGTTGAGAAATATATTTAACATAAATGTTCTACCATTACAGACAGAGAAGCCAGCTTTGGACTTATTTGGTGCCATATTTGGTAACACAGACTCCGAGGACAGCTCAGAGGAGGAGGAGGAAGAGGAGGAGGAGGAGGTGAAGCAGACCAAACCTTCACACAGTGAGCTTGCCTCCCCAAGTCTCCCTACCGTACCCAAGACAGGTAGGACTACAGTTGTTTAGCTATTTAAAGGCCAGATCTGACTCAAAATATATGATAAGAATCTTTTCACCCTTCACCTACTGTAGTCTGATATACATGTATCATACTAGATTAGAGTTCAAAACTTGTTGTCAGAATAAAAGAGACACTCTTTATAGGATAATTTTTCAAATGGCAGTTGATTTTTGTGGTAAAATGAATTCATCCAAAATTAAACATGACAGTGATCCTTTAAGTACCGCGTACCAGTATGTCTACTGACCTTACAATCTCAAAACTAATTCAACTTGAACCTATGGTAGCCAATCTTAACATCTAGGTAGCTAAAACTTAAACAAGTATTTATTAGACTAGATGTTTTATGCTCATATGTTTATGACCTAGAATTCTGCACCGTCTCTAGGTCATGTTTACTGTTGAATTCATTAAACGAACTCAAAGTCTACGTTCGTATTTTGATGCTGAAGACATATGGTTGTGATGAAAACACAACATGATTTGTTGTTTTAATAACAATTAAATAGGTATTTTATTTCCTGGTGTCAAATGATGAAATCCGTGGCAAGTTACTTAAAACTCTTTGTTTAGTTTACGGAATGAAGGATTACAATGTAACATCTTATTAATTTTAGATAAAGTGTCGTCAAAACCTACAACACATGTGGAAGACAGTGCTGAAAGTATTGCTGAGAGTCCAGAGGATATAGAGCTACAAGAAAGACTGGCCCCACCCCAACAGGCCACTGCCAGGGATGAGGATGAGCAGTATGGACCAGCACTACCTCCACCTGGTATGAGACTCAGAAACTGGCAATAAACTTGTTCTCTATACAACCACAGGAAGAATGTATAGATTTCTTTCAAAAAAATACATAATAATGTGCAACAGCGTAAATGATATCATTTGTTTCATGTCAAACAATTTGTGATCTAGAAATTGATATTTTTATATAAGGAAAAATTAACTATGATATACTTCCAAACGGTAGGGTTAAGAATTTTTTCAGATATCTTGAAGATATTGTGGTAGAATTTTTAAAATTACCCCATTTTGTTATACAGGTGCTCCTCGTCCCTCCAGTATGTCCACTACCTCAGCATATGTGGATCTGAACTTGACCTCAAGTCATAAACACAGACATAAAGATAGACACAAAGACAGACACAAGGACAGACACAAACATAAGAAAGAGAAAAAGGTAAACAGACAGTCTTAAATAAGCAGTCAGTTTGAACTGAAAATCTGAATTTCGTAAAACACATATTACTTTTTTGAATTTTCCTTAAATGATATAACTTTCATTTAAATGCTAAATTTGGGTCTAGGGGGAATCCTAGGATGGGCTTAAGTTCTAAATTTATTTTGCAACCTCTTCCCCTCTCCATGAATGGTGTTTTGAAGGGAGAATGGGGGTAAGGTAGCTCCGAAACATAACATGAATGCCATAATATGTTAAGGATCAAAAATCAGGAGGGGCCCACTGACCTCCCACTAGTGACCATCAGTCAATTGGGGAATGGAAGGTAGGATCCCAATTTAAGGTTATCAATCAAAAATCACTATTAGACACTTGACTCAGTTTCTCATTTGCTATTGATAAAACTAAAACAATTACATTTTAAAATACAGAAAAGCTCTTTAAGACATAATAGTATGGAATTTTTTGCAGGCTAAACATAAGAAAGACAAGCACAAAGAAAAAAAGAAAAGTAAGAAACAGAGATCAAGACAACGCAGCGATTCCAGCCATTCTGACTACGATTCCAGTGATATGGAAGATGATCAAAAGCTGATTCAGAAGTCAGTACAATCTTACCATCATTTTTAGTATAAAAGATAATAGTTTCACAAACTCTTGACAGAGGTTATGCTGATGCTATCCCCATTTCAAATTAATGCAAAAAAATAAATATTATTGCCTGATTGGGACCGAACTTATTTTCAGTTCGGCATTTATACTATGTTGGCCCATTATGAGTTTGTCATTCCCAAAGTGCCCATCACACATTTAATATTTTAAAACAAAAATTAGGGCTGCTGGGAATACTAGTCAAACATTACGTGGTAATTAGTTTTGCAAGTTGTTTGCAGAATCTATATACGACACAGTTATACAGAAAATAACACCACATTGTCACAGTAATTACTAAGATATGAGGAAGATGAGGAAGGCTACAGAGACATAAGTTAAATGTAATTCTGTTAAACAAGTATCAGAAAACACCAGTATTCTCAAAGTAGTTTTTTGAATATCACCAAGCTTCCTAAGTTTCAAAAAGACATGAAGATGTGTGAAATGTAATTAAAGAAGGCTGAAGGTCAATATCATTGTTAAAATTTGTTTCAATCAAATATTTATCTAAAAGTAAGACAGTCAATGTGCTCCAAAGTAGGGACATAATTTACAAACACTGTCCCTAGTCTTAAATTTGTCTTTTGAAAGTTAGATATTTTAAGTTGTCTCCCTTGTAGGAAAGTTCCCCTGGTTGGGCTTATGCCTTACTGGGACATCTGGCATCAATGTTTTCCTTTTAAATAACATGTTCTTGAAATCGAGAGTCCCACAGCTTTGCCAATAGCTAATTAACTGGGATGGAATACTTTGTAGTTTATTTGTATTAATAGCCTTGGCCTGCTTTCAAGGTCACAGGGATCTAATATCTTAAAACCTTCAAACATTATCTGAAGATTGGTATGTTCTGTAGATCATACACATGCATATTGCTTTGAGGTCAAAGGTCAACTTTAGAGCTGTCGGAGGTCAAGAGTCAACATGCAGTATATGCTTAAGGTCTTTTTCTCGAGTTTATATAATGCCAAGGGTCATGAAATTTGAAAATAAAAACATAGGATAAACCCTTTAACTAAACAGTTTGTATATATACACTCATGGCTATGCTTACTAGACTAAATATATAATGTATATGCCGATCTTTACAGAACTATAAAATTCTCTTCAGGGTCAGGAGGTATATGTTACTCTTCTGTGTTTCAGGTTGAAGGCTGTCAAGCAGAAAGGACTTCTCAGGATGTCAGACATTTCATGACCACACCACTCATGTCACCCATTTCTCATAACGTCTTCAAGTTGTTGTTTTTAATAAATATACTGTTAATACTTGTTAAACAGATATCCCAAGCTTTGTTTTATATTCAGAATCTGATTTTTATCACAACATCTTTTATCCAAATTAAATATTTGTTTCATAACTGGATTACCTCCCTTCATCAAAATGCTGCAACAGTGGCAACACCGATCATTTACCAATGGCAGATCAAACTTCTCATAGGGGCTGGATCATTGGATCATTTTAGTTTATTTAAACATTTTTGTGCAGAGGATTCTTATACAACAAAGGGAGATAATCCAGTACGGTCACTTGTATGCAGAAATTCTAGATCTGTATCAAGACTAATGTCCAGATTACCCAGATTCTGCAATAAAAATGGCCAAACTCGTAGAACATTTAAGACAATTATGCCTATTTAACTAAAAGGAAATTAGCAAACTCTTTCCAACACATTCATATCAGTTTGTGGTTATTTTGATATGTAATATTCAGCGTACCAGTAGATCTGGTACGTGTTTAATGGTACATTCACTACATTGTATAGCTATTGATGAAGATTGATTGGATTATTTTAAATATCAACGTCCTTCAGTCATAGACAAGGTTTTAACAAGATCTGGACCATGATTTATATAAATACATTTACATGTATTACATAACTGGTGAATGTTATTTAGTGATAGCCAGTTTTAGGGCAGTCCAATACAAGGTCATGTATTTCAAACTTGTAATACAAGGTGTATTACCCCAATAGCTAGCTAGAACTCTGTTTTAGCTGGAAGCCATTGGCAGGCGTCCACTGATCATCATTGTTTTGCGCCATTGTTGTTCAGTTCAAATTTTCTTGTGTGGTATTGCTATGTGCACAAAGTGCAGTAGTTTGTTAGTTTTACTAATTTTGGGTTGTTGGAATTGTCCAAAATAGCATGTCACTGAAAGTGAAATACTGGACAAGTTTATCTTTAAAAAAAAATACAATAAAACATTTATTGAAATGAGAAGTTTTAATAAATTCTACTACAAGCAAAGATGTTTTAATAGAAACAGCAAATGTACAACAATGGTATAATAAATTATTTGATTAATAAATAAATTCATCAATTGCATTTTAAGTACAGAACATTGCCCAAAGCCTCCAATTTTGTTTTTATTTAAAAATAAGAAAACGAAAAACCTAAAAATGTTCAACAAATAACTGAATAATACTGGGTTTTAACAGTTATGTTTAAATATGGTAAATTCATCAATTGATCACATTTTATACAGGCTTGGACATTGACAGCTGCCCAGAAAAACTTATCATTTACACAACCACAATTACACATGTCAATCCTGCCCTCCCTAAACTCTTGTATGGTGCATGAGATATGTACATTGTATATAACATACATTTATATTACTTGGTTGGTTGTTCCACTACAGAGAGAGGGGATGGTAGGACCAACTTAATGAATTTAAAAAAAATTGTCGTCAGATTTTGCCATCCTTTTAGACCCAGTTTAAATTGATATGATGGATTAATTGAGATATTATAGAGGATGACAGCACTGGCGACATATGCTCCTGTTTTTTTGCATACATTGATGAATTTGTCTACAAAAGTTTCCGACACCACTACACAATGAGGCTGCCACTGTTATAGTACTCTACAAATTTGTTGTGGTTCAGTCTTGGTCGAAGGCACACGCTAAAATACTGGGTGGAATGTTCTGTGTACGGTGATATACAGTCCCTCTCGTTAAGGACACACCCTTCAAGTGACCATGCCCCCTTGCTGAAAGGACACGCCACTACCAGAGGGCTCAAGATGATACACACACACATTGTGACATACAAAATACACAAGATGATGAAGTTATGTGACAAGTTCGGCTATGCGCGTTCATCTACACCAGCCTGTGTCATCAGATCAGCGATGTTCTTCTCAAGATCATCAATGCGGTTTCCCATCTCATCAAGTGCAAAGAGGTTAAGGAATATATAATGTTTCAAACAAATTGCATTGAATCAATATGCATTAAATGCATTTAAGGGGTCATTTGTCATTATTAAAAATATAACACGTATTACAGTTTAAAGTTTCAAATGTAGACTGGGATATTTCTTAAATGATAATATGTAGCGTGTAGGTATAATACGGTCTGTATGTTATGTAATGTGTTTGGACCATATTTGGTGTTGCATGCATTAGTAAAGTCTTGTCTGTAGTCCTAGTCAAAGAATGAGTAAAGATTTTGCATGCAGTGCTAATGATAAGGCTTGTGTGGGGATCATTGGCATAGGAAGAGTTGATTATAATTCACATAAACAAATTCTTTCCACAAAGTTGCCCCCTTAAAATTTCTCGAAGTCCAACTTTCCCTGATAAGAAATTAAAGCTCCTGAGCAATCAATTGTGATTTGTCATTGACATTGTGCCATCTTATATATAGTGATTAATTGATTTTAAAGAGAAGTGTATGTCAACATATACAATAAAGGATATTCCTTGTGATCACTTGGTCAGACATGTTCTGGAACTTGTCTTGCATCTGTTGCAGAAGAGTCTGTACCTGTAACAGTAAAAAATAAAATTATCAATTAACCTGTAAAACTTCCATTATAAGAACAGATTTTATTTTGTTCAACAAAAAAATCAAACGTTTTATACATCTATAACTATGTATAAAATACAATGCTACACACTTTAAGTTCTCTAGGTAATGCTGGTATACCAGGTACTTCAACTACAGGGATTCATTGATATCAATTCAACTGTTTTAACATTATGATCAACACACAATTTTAAAAGAAATTTTGATGGCAATCAAGCACTTGCAATGTACCCTGGCATGCCACCAATACACGGTACTTTACTTTTGACCTTGAGGTGATCGGTTAACATTACGGTAACCTAATCAATGAACACTGCATATACATACATCATTGATGTATATATACATGTACTGTATGCATAAAATTTCATTAAGAAATATTTTTGGTTAAAGAATTGTGGCCCGAGTAGTATTTTGAAATAATAAGAAGTATAGGAATACAATGCCTCCCTTCATCTAAAGGACATATGTGTACATAGTAGGATTGGTAAATGATGATAACTTGTCTAAATGGAATATATGAAATGATGGGTCAGTTTATAAAAAAATATTATACAGGATCATACCTACCAAGTTCTGCCAAATTTATAGAATGGCGTTTATACTTTCGAAATTTATCTTTTAATAATAAGATATATGTCTTTTTAGGGAGTGTTTTAAAGATAGACTTAGGAGTTGCCAGGCAATACCATTTTTTTTTTTTTTAAATTCAGTACAAATATTTTATTCCCCCAGCCATTTTTTTCATAAATACATATACTGCTTCGAAGCAGATATGTATATACATATATAAATATTTTGATGGGGGATGCCAGGGTTGGGGAGCCCTGGAGTCAGCCCCTGAATAATATGGTGTCCTCACGCAGGAGGGTTCTCATTCAACATCCATCAGTCAAACTATAAATAAATAAATAGGAAGGGCAATGGGAAAATAAAATATTTGCAAAAAGAGTACAGGACAAGAACACAAAACATACTTCTTTCACACCCTAACAAATTCCATATACAACATAATATTACAAACAAGGATAAACATATAGCACGTATACACAAAAAACATAATACACATACAAATACACCCACATATATACTCATACACACATACATATATACATGAGACAGACAAAACAGACAGACAGACAGACAGTACATACATACATGTATATACATTGAGACAGACTTACATACATTGAATCAGATGCATCATTATGCAAGCATAATTTCAAGCAGTTGAGAAACAATAATAAATACAATGCAAACAGTGTCAGATGTACATATATATATATACACATGTGTATGAATATTTCTATGACACGTGCATGTGGTCATTCACATTGACATGGACATATACTGACATCAATTTTCAAATAGCATTTTAAAACCGGTTTTCATACAGGTTTTTATGTCTGCTAAAAAGATAATTATAAAACAAAACTAACAAAAAATAGCACATACATCCACTCACACCATAACATACCGGATATATGCAGTTTTATTTTTATCAGAATACAAAATCAAGATGAAATTTAAATATTCATTTCAAGAGAAAGAGTATCAATACCAGTTAGTGGCCATTGTTATACTGTTGACTTCAGTTGTATACAAAAAATAAAAGTCACTTGTTATATTTTATGACCACCTGGAAATCGTGGGGATAGCAATAATCTTCATTATCATCGGAGATTATTTTGGTCCTGTCTTGAATGATTCACGTTCCTTTAATTACAAGTTTTAAAAGTTCAGTTACATATTTTTAAGTAAAATGTAGTTAGTTTATGAAACAATATTTCCTTGCCTTGGCTGTGTTGATTTGAATTTCAGATGTATGTTGTGTGATAGTATTGATTTTTGTTCATACCCGAGTTCCTAATATGCACGTTTGCTATTTATTGATTATAAGCATGTTGCTACATGTTACAGCACTATACACAAGAGTTCACTTACTTTAACTTCCTAGACATGTACAGAGTATTTGTACTGTAACGTATGTCAATGATATATATGGGAAGGACACAGGTAAACAGAAATATCCAATAACTCAGGGGTTTATTATACACCTGGTAAATAAGATAAGATGACTCTTATACGAAGTATGGAAGTGTCCAAAATTGTCAGGTATAGACAATGTATACCTCAGCTCAAGTTGTAAATTCAGGACCCTTCCCACCAGATCAATATATTCTACCAGTGAATGGTTATGTGACCCTAAGCCATGTGAGCAGTTCACTTAAACTTATCCTTATACATGTACAATCAGACTCGGATCTTTCAAATTTCTGTATTTTAATAAACAGCAATTTTGGTTCAAGACAACAGCTTTGTAAGGATTAAAATTCCCCCTTTTTTTTTAAACTGAATGAACTTCTTCACAAACAATGTCATTTTTCTACAGGTACTTTTGAATATATGACACTGAGTACATGAACCCTTAATAAAGACCAGACCAAATTTCAACCACTTTATTTTCAAATTCAAAGTGGTTAAAATTTGGTCTGGCCTTAGTCAAACGCCAATGCAAGGACATGAGGAGTTGGGTATATCTAAAAAGTGACATTAGCTTCACGCCAGCTAGCATCCACTTCAGGATCAATAAGACATATTTTACATAACATATACCAGTAATGGTTAAAGACTACTAGGTAGTAACCTGACAAGTCAAGGCTAGTAAAACTAAATTATCTAATATTTAGATAAACTTTGTGTACCTGAATCAGAAAACCTGTGTATGTTTCATTTTATACAAACGTTTTGATCCCATGATGTCTAGTTCAGACATGTTCAGTAAAAGTAATGTATAAGTAATTAATTCCTTAATAATTAATATTATAATGTTGTATACCACAGATCCATATGATTATCAGAAAACCTGATGTTTCATTTCATACAAATGTTTTGGTCCCTATGATGTCTTTAGTTTAGACATGTTCAGTAAAAGTAATGTATAAGTAATTAATTCCTGAATGATGAATATTATAAAGTTGTATACTGCAGATTCATATTATTATCAGAAAACCTGATGTTTCATTTCATACAAATGTTTTGGTCCCTATGATGTCTTTAGTTTAGACATGTTCAGTAAAAGTAATTAATTCCTTAATATTAAATATCATAATGTTGTATACTGCAGATATGATTAGCTGTAAGACCAGGAGTTTTTAATAAGCAATACTTCTCTTTGCTGACATGTGTATTACACTCCTACAGTAAACCATACATGTAGCTACATGTACAACAATCCAGTCACACACCAGATGTTTCAACACTAATGCCATAAACCCAACTTGCTGTATGTTTTTGTGACAATGGGCCCTTTGTTGTATCTAAATAATTCATACCTTTGCCATACCTATATATGGTTTCTGTCTTGGCTGAATGGGCAATTGATTAGTTGAGTACCGGATTTGCTTAGATGTGCATTTTATGCAACATTTAGAGGCCCGGGAATTTCTGGATAGATTTTCTACTTTTAATCCTTATGGTGCTGAATAGTCAAAGTATGACACTATAATTATAAACAATACAATAAACTCTGTATCTGAAGTAACTGAATAAACTTCTGCAATGAAAGATTTTTAATCCTGGGTTGGGATGTGACTAATTATACTTCAATGTAAAAAATATCTTTGCAGCAATCTAATAACTATGTGTTGTCATATTTACAAAGCTTCAAATTGACTTGCTTGTAATCAATTTGTTGGAAATCTGATCATGCAATTAACGTTTAGTAATATACAACAATTTTCAACTTCACAATTAAATTATTTCACATACAAATGTTGAATCCTTTTAATATTTCATTGCTTCGTCTACCATTTCTGACAGCAAGTGACTTGTCAAAGCTATGAAACATTATCAAAGGAATGTTATCTAAATTTTAACAAGCTTTAAAAGCATAAAGGTAGCAACACACAAATTATATGTACCATGCCACCAGTGGTTTTAAATTTCCAGAGGTATTGTATAATTGCTTTACACAGCTTTCACTTTCTGAAAAGTTCACTATACAAAGAAATGGCCTACTTAAAGGCAAATCCTTGTGACAATAGTTCTTTGTTGGCTTTTAAATAAAACTACTATTTACTCTGAAACAATAATTCTACACAGAACCTTTTCTGCTTTGAAGTGTTAATAAGTGTTATTTTTAAACATTATTCCAGTACAATCATCAGGGCTTTAAATAAATTTGTGAGGCAGGCAATGACATTTAGAATGTTTCCTATATCTTTGTATTTTAGAATCTCTTTTGTTGTAAAAGATAGTGCAAATTCTGAAAATATTCCGAAACTGTGAAATAGAGTACATGCCACAAATAGGTTAAATTTTGTAAAATACTTAAATCAGGATAAATCAATATTTACCTGTTGAAACATAATTTACACGGACAAGACCAACAGGCCTGTGTACTATAACTATCAACTTTTGCAGTCCATGGCACATATATATAATTTGTAGTAACAACTTCAGTCCTTTTGATCATTCTTATATTATTAGCAGTGATTTTATTGATAGGAGAAATTTACTATCATGTGAATGCTGAAATTAGCACTTACTGGAATGCCAACAGTTACATCAACTGAATACAAACATAACATTACTACCAGTATATGCCTAACATTATGGTGCGATTGTACATTATTGATAACTTTGTTTTTGTGTAAGCTTATATATGACGCTACAGTTCTCCGCAACTGCATATGTAGATAATTCAGTAATGAAATATTATTGAGGCCGATGTCCTCTTCCATTGTTCGAGTAGATAATTGATAATACTCCAACATACAGCGAGTAACGTTATCTTCACTTCATAAAGGAATATAATCAGATATTATTAGTCATGCATGCATTCTAATATTGTTACAGATCCAGGTAAAATTCTGAAATATATGTATTAAGAAATGCATGTCTTTGTTGCTTACATTCCTAATATCTTATTTTTATGAAACAGAAAATTAAATTCCAATTTTACGATCAACCAAGTCGGATTAGGCTGATACTGTTTCGAGGGAATACAAAGCAGGTTTGGACCTGCCAAGATTCCATTCTAAGTTCTAGGCTTAGCCTACCTTGACCAGGTAGAATCTCTTAAAGTAGACAAAAAATAGCGGACAAACTTACAAAAGCTGTCAGGTCCTGGATGTTCTTGGGATCGGCGTTGTTTGCCATGTAATCTTTGCCGTAGTCTGCCATGCTTTCGTCTTCTTTCGAACTTGATGTTGTTCTGACAGTCGGGGTAAAGATTTTTACAGGAAGTATATTTAGCTTCGATACTTGCGCATGCGTATCAACACATAGAAGAGGCCCGTAATGGGGTATTTTACCTATAGCAGGTAATTACAAGTTCGAGAATTTTCAATAAACCGTTTGTACATAAATAATATGTCGTGTTTATCTCGAATATGTAAGCTTATTGTGAACAACATGTGCTGGCCTACGAAAAGTGCGACAATTTTGGGTACAAACAGGTCAAAAGTATATTATCTAATTTATTGAATAAGAGGCCTGATAAAATGTATCGCTTAACGTTATACCTTTTTATGATAATAACTTTTATTTCCACTTTTGTACTGCCAAGGTAAGTTGAAGACAGCGCATATCAATACAAAGCAGCACAAACATTAATAGTTGGAATATATCTACAGTACAGTATTAGTGAAAAATCCAGTCTCAATTATGATAGACCACGGACTTAGATAACAATCTTATTCAGTGGATAGACATATTATCCTAAATTTATCTAAAATATCTGATGCATCGATCATTAATGACTTGAACAAGCAAGTCCACCTTTCTCAGTTCAAGCGCGGACTTAGTTCCAATTCCGTTGTTCAAGTGACTGTTAAGTAAAGAGGTTAATATCCCTCATAAAAAAAAAGAGTTCAATATACATTGTTTATGTGTTCTTCTTTCGATACGGAGTAAGCAATTAATTGTTTCTGAGATTTTAATTCTAGATAAACAATGGGAAAAGATGTTTTTCATCGTCCAGAATTTTATAATATTTTTATTTTCTGTTGCTTCTGAAATCTTTTTATTCTTACCGGCTTCAATCCCAAAGGTGTGATTGCTTATAGTCGAAATCTGATAATCAGTCCAATAAGTCCAAACTTGAAGCTAATAAATGATTGAATGGCCCTCTATATATAGAAATCTATGTCTTTCAAAATGCAGTAAAAGTGTATTTATTAAAAAAAAAAAAAAAGATTTACAATTTCATAATGAACTACAGAATTAATTGATTGAGAGGTGAAACTTGAGAATTAGATCTTAACGAAAATGTCAAATCAACCAAACAGATAATGACAGGATGGCCATCTTGGATTTCGAATCGTAACGTTTGGTGGTAAATACCCGAAAATATCTCATCAAATCAGACCGTCACTATAGTAACCGGATCCTGGATTTCGAACCAACCCGAAAATAACAAGATGTGTCATGTACTGAGTATATGATGTCCAGTCTACAATGTAGTAACTGTATTAGATTCCTGTCTAGTGACGGTACCTTGACTGGATGACCGATCTTCCTTGGGGGTATTTAAGAATGAAAGAGAAAATGACTAATTAATATGCAAAATGTTAAGAAATGCTGAACAACCATTATGCATAACAATGAACAAAAATAAAAACACATTTTTTTCAACGGCTTTTCCTCCGATGGGAAAGTGCTCAATAGGGAAATTCGATACAATTAACCGCATTAGGCATAAATAACGCAGTCAAATTTATTAGCTTCGAGTGGAAATATTTTGAAAATTCAGATATACAACGGTCCTTATTTCAGTTTATTTAACTAAATGTTACTTTAAAGACTGATAATTAATTTGCATATTTGTGATTTGGAGTAGAAATGAAACTGTTGCAGGTATTTCCTGAGTCATTTAACTTTTTTTCACTGTTTATTTGCGGTAATATTTACACTTGTATTACCAATAAAACGTTTTCTGTCCTTTCTTGAACTATTTCTCATAGTTACTAACGATTTGTTAAATTAACTGAAGACTTACGAGTAATACCGAGTTAAAGGAGCAGGGCGTACGATGTCACCAATCGTTAACTTCAAATAAACCGAAATAAAGACCATATTGTATGACTTTATTTTTCGGAAAGCTTAATTCCACTCACCTTCCTACACCCTGATAAATTAACTCTGCGTTAATTGTGCCTGGTCTGATTCATTGTATCGGGATACCCTGTGTTTACGTGTATTCTATGCATACTTTTATTGTCATTCCTGATTTCGAGCATGCTTATAATATATAAGATATAAATTAATACTACTGACTACAATGTAAACAATGAACATTTTGAGACCAATATTGCAAATAATCATGACGAATATTTAACTAAACCTTTTTAACTGTAAACGTAAAGAAAGCGTAGATAAGCGTTTGGCTGACAAATAGTCAATCGATCTTAAAAAAACGTGTGTGTGTGTGTTAACAAATTAAACCGACAGTAAATAATCTAAATAGGTTATCTTTACCCAGATAAATGGGATAAAAATAGCACTATTGGAATATGGAAAATAAACAGCTAGTTAAGGTAAAAAAGTACACGCAATACTTATTTAAATAAGTTGTCAAGTAGCTTGATAGTTTAATAGGATTTTAATATGTAATCGTGTTTATGAAGCCGTTGTACGTGGTGAAATTTATAAAGGCATACATTCAACTCCGTTTTCGTATTTTGAAAGAAAGTTATCGACCGACAATATCAATGTTGAGTTTGGTTTGGTTTGGTTTGGTTTAGTGTTTAACGTCCTATCAACAGCTATTGTCATTTAAGAACGGCCTCTCCTGTGTGCAAGATGCATGCGTGTAGTGTATGCGTGTGTGCTTTTGGGAGGCTGCGATATATAGTTGGTGAAATACTCGGAATCCATTGACATCATCAGCCGGGTCCATCAGTCTCTAGACGTTTCAACCCTTGTCCCAGAATGTCCTCGTGATGGTGGGTCGACAGTGGCGATCAACTCACTTCCCGTCAATGGATGGCTTCCAGTCTTTCTCCTCCCGTCTGTTCCACAACCAGTATGATCGCGCTCGGCAGCCTGCGTGTCTTTCCGACTAATCCCACAGCCTGCAATGTCTTACAGGCTGAGCGTGCCGGGAACCCTCTGCATCCGACCTCCACAGGAAACAGCCAAGTACGCCACCCTCGCTCCCTACATTGTTCCGTGATCTCCGTATACTTGGCTTTCTTTCTCTCATTGGCCTGGTCGCATCACTCCTCCCAGGGCACAGTCAGCTCGATGACTATAATCTGCCTGGATTCGGCAGTCCATATCACCACACCTGGACGTAGCGTTGTCTGTACGACGTCCGGAAACACCAATTTCTTTTCCAGGTCGACTCCCATCTCCCATGTCTCTGCTCCTTCCAGAATGCCAGTGTTGCCTGATGTTGCTTTCGTCTCCTTCTCCCCTGCTTTTATAAACCGGTTTGTGCTTACGAGGTGGTCTCTTCTTCTTCCTTTCCACCTCGAGAACATCTGCTTATTCCCGAGGCACCTGGTCATGTCTCCACCGGTATCGTCACTGTGTTAGCGCTGTCTTGCATGCCGAAAGGATATGGCCCATGGTCCCACGTTCTTGACATAGCCGACACTTTGGCTCTTCAACTAGTCCCCACAGATGATTTGGCAGGGTATACGGGATGGTATGACCCTAAAGGGTTTCGTATTTCCTTAGGCCGATAGGCCAAAGGAAATACGAAATCCTGTAAGGTAATACCATCCCGTATACCCTGCCAAAAATCCGTGTAACGAATCCGTGTAATAGTCTTTTATATTGGTTTTGTACAGTTCCCCGTCAACTTTTCTGTTGTCAAGATAAAAATGGCACAGTACCTCATTTAGTTTCGTTTTATCAAATTCCTCGAACTGTTCTTCCTGATTCTTTTCTTTTAAATACGTCTTTAGCATGTTTACCGCTCGTCTATTCGACTTTTGTGTGTTTTGTGGCACATAGTTAGCCCTTTTGGCGAGTATTTCCTCATCAGTATGCGAAGCAAAACGTTTTGCCATTTTGTAAACAGCAAAGCAGACGACGAATGCGAGTTGTCTCCAGTTGCTCGGCCGCATGAAACAAAGACACGTGACCCGCATACCCCCTTGTTAAATCACGTGATTCCACCGTATTACTGCTGAGAATCACGTGACATGACCGTATTCCCCCTGAAATTTTCGTATACCCCCTGAGATTTACGAATGCGGTTTGGTACACTGTAGTTTTTAACCAATCAGATTCCTAGATTTTTCTCAAAGGGGTAATAAAGTGTTATATACCGACCGCAACAGGAACTGGATCCTCAATGGTTCATAGCGCCACAGGTCTGTCCATGTAAGTTTTCGCTCTGACAGCTTCCATTTCGTCCATGCTCCCATTTCCACTGCCCTTGCTTTCCTGGTCCCTTCTTCTTCTCTGCGGATTTCTTCCTGTACCAGAAATCTTTTCTCTTATCATCTGATCCTTCCCTCGTCTGAAAATGGGTTGTCCCCAACCCTTGCCGTCCTGAGCAGGTTGCTCCGACGATGTCCCGGTGCTTGAGAGCGCCCTCGGCCTGCTCCACAGACTGGCTTTCAGACTATTTCCTTCCTGTCCTAGTCTGGATTCCTGCGTTTCTTTTCTTCTCGTCCTTTTAATCTCGCAGATGATGTCCGGCTGTAGAGCCGAATGCTGGAGAAACTGGGCGGGACACCAAGCCACCTCCTCAGGTAGCTGCTGATGGATCTTTCCAGTCTTCCACTGTTGTCAAAGGAACCTCATATAGCATCAGGGGCACATGAGTCTCGGCAGCAGTCCATGTTGGAAGATCCATGCCTTGAACTTTCCTGGCAGGCCTGACTTGTCAATCTTCCTCATTCACTCAATTGCCTGCTTCTACATGCTACTGATGTTGCTGGTATCTTTCAGTGATGCATCAAACCACTTTCCTAGGCACTTGATTGGGTTGTCCGCAATTGATGGGATCTCTTTCCCTTGTACTTTCAGCTTGAACTGTTGTGTCAGTCGTCCCTTCCTCATTATCATGCACCTTGATTTTCTTGCCTTGAATTTCACCCTCGCCCATGCGACTACCTCCTCCAATGCAGAGAGAATCCATCTTGCTTGGACATGTGTGGTGGTAGTCACAGTCAGGTCATCCATTAAACCTCGATTCGATGGTTTGTAGATTCCTGATTCTGTCCTGGGCCCCCTGGTTTCCCGTCCTTCTGCCTTGATGATAAGATTCATCCCCATGACAAATATATATATGTGTGTGTAAATCCAAGGTCTGAGTAACACATTGTACGGGTATATATATGTGTGTAAAACCAAGGCCTGCGTAACACATTGTACCGGTATATATATATATGTAAAACTAAGGTCTGAGTAATACATTGTGTAAAACCAAGGTCTGAGTAACACATTGTACGGGTATATATATATGTGTAAAATCAAGATCTAAGTAACACATTGTGTAAAACCAAGGTCTGAGTAACACGTTGTACGGGTATATATATATGTGTAAAATCAAGATCTAAGTAACACATTGTGTAAAACTAAGATCTGAATAACACATTGTACCGATATATATATATATATGTAAAACTAAGGTCTGAGTAACACGTTGTACTGGTATATATATGTGTAAAACCAAGGTCTAAGTAACACATTGTACGGGTATATATATGTGTGTATAACACCAAGGTCTGAGTAACACATTGTACGGGTATATATATGTGTGTAAAACCAAATTCTGAGTAACACATTGTACCAGTATATATATGTGTGTAAAACTAAGGTCTGAGTAACACGTTGTACTGGTATATATATATGTGTAAAACCAAGGTCTGAGTAACACGTTGTACGGGTATATATATGTGTGTATAACACCAAGGTCTGAGTAACACATTGTACCGTTATATATATGTGTGTATAACACCAAGGTCTGAGTAACACATTGTACCGGTATATATATGTGTGTAAAACCAAATTCTGAGTAACACATTGTACCAGTATATATATGTGTGTAAAACTAAGGTCTGAGTAACACGTTGTACTGGTATATATATATGTGTAAAACCAAGGTCTGAGTAACACGTTGTACGGGTATATATATGTGTGTATAACACCAAGGTCTGAGTAACACATTGTACCGTTATATATATGTGTGTATAACACCAAGGTCTGAGTAACACATTGTACCGGTATATATATGTGTGTAACCAAGGTCTTAGTAACACATTGTACCGGTATATATATGTGTAAAACCAAGGTCTGAGTAACACATCGTACCGATATATATATATATGTGTGTAAAACCAAGGTCTTAGTAACACATTGTACCGGTATATATATGTGTAAAACCAAGGTCTGAGCACAGGTGCACGTTACAAATGTCTGAAATACACACATATACTATACTGATATGGGTCACAACACACGTGTATGTTTATGTGTGTTGTGCCCCATATCAGTATAGCATATGTGTGTATTTCAGACATTTGTAACGTGCCCCTGTGGTCTGAGTAACGCATTGTACCGGTATATATATATGTGTGAAACCAAGATCTGAGTAACACATTGTGTAATACTAAGGTCTGAGTAACACATTGTACCAGTATATATATGTGTGTAAAACTAAGGTCTGAGTAACACGTTGTACGGGTATATATATGTGTGTATAACACCAAGGTCTGAGTATCACATTGTACCGGTATATATATGTGTAAAACCAAGGGCTGAGTAACACATTGTACCGGTATATATATGTGTAGAACCAAGGTCTGAGTAACACATTGTACCGATATATATGTGTGTAAAACCAAGGTCTGAGTAACACATCGTACCGATATATATATATGTGTGTGTAAAACCAAGGTCTGAGTAACACATTGTACCGATATATATATGTGTAAAACCAAGGTCTGAGTAACACATTGTACCGGTATATATATGTGTAAAACCAAGGTCTGAGTAACACATTGTACCGATATATATATGTGTGTAAAACCAAGGTCTGAGTAACACATCGTACCGATATATATATATGTGTGTGTAAAACCAAGGTCTGAGTAACACATTGTACGGGTATATATATGTGTAAAACCAAGAGCCTTGTGGCTGTACGTATTGCAAGCAGAAACGTTATATAAAGTGTCATTTCGTAACATTTGATGTTGTTATCAAAAAGCTAGACAGGTTATAAACATCATAACACATTTCAGTTTCAATATTTGTAACATGTCTAGCGTATTCATCACATAATGTTATTAAATAGTCCATAATGTAAAGATGATTTAGCGATCTAGGGTACTTAGCATTTGTTTTCCTATTTATTATCTGTTAAAATATATTACAAGGGAATTTTACTAGGATTTTAGTGGTTTCGCATGGCAACATCTATCCCGATTGAGGCTGGTTAAATTAAGCTCCGCACTACACAGGTCACCGTCGGATACCCACGGTTGATTTCGCTTCGGTACTCATTCATCATGATGAGTGAGTACCGAAGCGAAGCGAAATCAACCGTGGGTATCCGACGATGTACATAGGCATAAATATGAACTTAAGTTAAAATGTCACTTCGTAGCATTCAGTTATATAGCAAAGAAGATTGACATGATATACATCCGGTGACTTATTTGTATGAAGTCGTCAGCCTAATGCCGTGTTAGTGACTACGTTAACCTGGCTACGTACCATTTTGATAGCTAAATGTAAAAGTTCATTATATCTAAATTACATATATACAAATTAAGTAAGTTCCAATTTTCTATTTGGGTATTGGAAAACATTTATATGTGGGTATCATGGTTAAATGTACCTATTTTTGGCGTACGTGTGAAGTTACTAGTGTGACGATTAAAAATAAATTGAACAAAATGTAAAAAGCTGGGATACGCATATATATCCGAATAAATATTGTGACACAGAGCGATTATTAAAACAGATAACGATCAGTCCTTAAAAACAGAAACCACAACAACATTTACCGGGACGCTCGTTGCAATGCGAGTCTGATAAAATTCTCCTAGGAAATGGATTCGGAAACATTTCTTTATTTCGCCTATGCCAGCAATTTACTAAAAGAACGACTTCAACTTGAAAACCCTAGCGCTACGTTTGTAGCTATTGGCAAATTAGAGGTAAGTCAACTTCAAATGGTGAAAGGAAAGCAAGAACAGTATGCAGTTATAAATAACCAAAGGATAATTTAAACAAAACTTATCAACTAAAATCGAAGAAAGCAATAAGCACAGAATCATAATATAACAATCAATGTTAAGGTCAAAGATCTATATGCATACAGATTTTCACGCCTATAAATATTCATTTTAGTAGCGCACTAATGACCTCCTTGTCAATGTCAAAAACTGTAACTATGTATTACACTCATTACGTTGGACCTCATTTTTTTTCATTTTTGTTTCAAGCCTTTTTTTGACATTTGCATTACGTCATCATCATCATCATCATCATCATCATCATCATCATCATCAAAACAGCATCCGAAAATGTTATCATCATCATCATCATCATCATCGTATCATCTCATCATTATCATCATCATCTCATCATTATCATCATCATTTCATCATCATCATCATCATCATTTCATCATCATCATCATCATCCTCATCATCATCATCATCATCATCATCATCATCATCGTCATCATCATATCATATCATCATCATCATCATCATCATCATCATCATTTCATCCTAATCATCATCTCATCATTATCATCATCATCTCATCATGATCATAATCATTTCATCATCATCATCATCATCATTTCATCATCATCATCACCATCATCATCATCATCATCATCATCATCATCATTATCAAAACAGCATACGAAAATGTTATCATCATCATCATCATCATCATCATATCATCTCATCATTATCATCATCATCTCATCATGATCATCATCATTTCATCATCATCATCATCATCATTTCATCATCATCATCATAATCATCATCATCATCATCATCATCATCATCATCTCATCATGATCATCATCATTTCATCGTCATCATCATCATCATTTCATCATCATCATCATCACCATCATCATCATCATCATCATCATCATCATCATATCATCATCATCATCATCTCATCATCATCATCATCATCATCATCATCACCATCATCATCATCATCATCATCATCATCATTTCATCCTAATCATCATCTCATCATTATCATCATCATCTCATCGTTATCATCATCATCTCATCATTATCATCATCATTTCATCATCATCATCATCATCATCTCATCATCATCATCAGCAGCAGCAGCAGCAGCAGCAGCATCATCTTACAAATTAGGCAATCGTGGTAAAACTTCTCATTGATATTGCACATATTTCCTTATACTGGGTTCTACCTCTTAGCACTCCGGGAGACACCACCCTTTTTATATACATACAATTTGATTCCCAGGTTTAAAGGATGCTTCATAGCAAATTTGGTTAAAATATGATCAATTCGTTGGTAGGAGTAGGTTTTAAATACTTAAACAACCGAAATACTATCAACCCTCCCCCATTTGTGCCTTGTACATCAGCCTCCAGGGGACCTACCCTCTTTCTACATACATGAATTGATTTCAAGGTCCCAAACACCAAGGATGTTTCATAGCAAATTTCGCTTAGTTCCGTATACTGTACATATGGTTATAAGGGCTTTTGTTATGACCCTGGAACCAAGTCCCCAGTTGCAGGACTGTACCATTGTATCAAACATTCATGAATACCAAGTATGTTTAAAATCAATCGAACTATTATGTACGAGTAGGATTTTGAAGGAATCTTTTTTGATCTGATTTAAACCATTAAGCCTCCTCCACCTCTGCCCCGACAGGTCCACTCCCTCCATATATGCAACATTGAGTCCTCTTGTCCTATATATTTTACAGACCAATATCCCTTAGAGTAATATTTTCTAGAATTACCTTTCCATATATATGTCCCCACCCATCTGCCCCATGTTTTGTTTACAAACTTGAGTTGTTTGAACCAACAATGCTTCAGAGGCGATTTTCGGGGGATCGGTACTAGTACGGCAGCGTGACGTTATTACACCATAAGAACGGCAGTACATCGTCAGAACACAGGGGCACGTTACAAATGTCTGAAATACACACATATGCTATGCTGATATGGGTCACAACACACGTTTATGTGTGTTGTGACACATATCAGTATAGCATATGTGTGTATTTCAGACATTTGTAACGTGCCTATGTTTATGTGTTTTGTGACCCATATCAGTATAGCATATGTGTGTATTTCAGACATTTGTAACGTGCCCCTGTGGTCAGAACATAGCAAGGGGACTACACTGATAGTACTCCGGTATGGCTTCGTTAATGTCTGTAGAGCACCGGTTGCGCCCCGTAAGCAAATTAAATGGATCGACGGCTCTCCGGTGGCCTCAATGTGTACCGTACTGGTACCGATGTGATAACGCGTAGTACATGTACTACTGAATACCACCGAAGTAGTACTGATGCTTTGGTGTAACATCAGCGGCGCATCGGTAACGCTAGGGTGACAGAAAAGTGGTATTCGGTAGCACATCGGCTACAACGGTATCACAACGTGAACGCCGGTACGTATGCTACATCGGTATTGCTACGGTCAATTTTCCAAGTGCTTTAATTTAGTACATCAGTAGTGTGTGACAGGCCTTTCAGATCTAATTCCCCGAATACCGTTTCCTATACTGAAGGAACACGATTTAAAGTCTTATCTTCATTTTCTTTGTAGAGTATTAAGCCAAATCATACAAAATTCAGTAAAAATCCACCAATCTGTTCTAGGCTGGTTTTAAAAGTAAAAAATATGGACGGATAGCAGACGCTGCGCCACAGCATAAGCTTACTTAATTTATCATAAAGCCAGATGAGCTAAACTGTACATGCAATGACAGCAGCAGTATTTTGAGGTATGATACCTACAGAACCCTTAATTGATGGAGCAATATAAAGTATTGCGAACAATCCAATATCCCCTACCCGTGGACACACTTTGGTATCAAAAACATGTACGAAGGGTCATAAGTGTGTATACAATGGGACTCAAGACCTGATTGCATTGTATAACACTTCCACATTCGAAATGGGTAATCAATGCAAATGTTGGCAGTTGTTAGTGAGAGAGTATAAGATATGCTCCGGAAAAGGTGCTGGTAGGGTGCTAAAAAGTAACCACTTGCTATTCCCGGTAAAGAAATGTAATTTAATGTTTCGGAGTGTGACCTTGAAATGCCTTTGTTTAGAAAAAATAATAATAATAAAAGCAAAATCTCATATAAATCAGGTTAACCTTGTGATCGTTACACCCACAATAGTGTAACAGTGATTCAATAGCGGTTGTCTGCGCTTACTAGTATAACCGGATTACAATATATATAGTAGGGAATTTTGGTTAGTCATGTGCTACACGGCATAACCCCAACGATACTTCTTCGGGCATGGTGCGCTAAAATGATATCCACTATATGTGACAAAAATGAGCACACCAATTAGTAGTTGTTTGGAATTAAATAAACTGGGATCCAGTTGACAAATACATTCATATGTCTGAAGTGTGTCCCCTAGTCCATTACAGAGACCCGGTGCATTATCTTGCCATCTCATCCATCGAGGCACACGTTGATATCAGATCTCGATATACAGTTACACTAGGTTATGACAGTAAAACGGACACAAGGCAATTATCTCAGAGTTTTTAGATTACTGAGTTACAGAACTCTTATTCTCAGAAACTACAACAAACTTTACAGGTTTCTAGACCAAAAATGGGTATTCGCATGATCAGCGTGTGTAAGGCTTATCAGAATTCACTTGGAAAGCGGATTCGGAAACACTACTTCACTTTGGTTAGTAACTTACTAAAAGAACGACTTCAGCTTGAAAATGACAGTGCTCATTAGTAGAGTAGTGGGAAATCACTTTCAAGTGATGAAAAGTTTTCAATTAAAGAAAAATATCGACTCAGAATCTTCGTTTGACTTTCAATTTTTTAGACATAGACATATTTTTAATATGGCTTGAAATTAAAGTTAAACGGAATATATATGCAAAACTCTTTCAAGTTTGACCTCAAATATGACTTTGGTCCGTAAAATACTAATATACAAGAGGTCTTGTATCGTTCATCTCGACTTTTAACCATCCATGACATATATTCTAATATACAATAAGTAACTGATAATATTTCTCCAATTTGGTCTCCTCCTCTATAGCACTGTCAGGAACAACACATTTTCTTCTTTATATGGCATTTGATTCTCTGGGAGGATTCTTCACGGCAAATTTAGTTGACGTATGCTTTACAGGTTAGAAGGATGATTTTAAATACTTAAACAACCAATATGCCCCGTTTTGGGGCTTGCCATTTAGCCTCAGGGGGGCACCAACTATTTCTTTATACAGCAAATGTTCCCAAGGTCTCACGGATCCTGGATGCTTCAAAGCAGGTTTCATTGAGATGCCTAAATGTGTGCATACAGTTATAGGGCATAGGTGAACCCTAGGACCGAGTCTTCAGTGGCAGGGCTGGACCTCTGAGCAAGTCCTTTGTAGCATGGTTGTATTCGTCACTTCATACCAAGCAAAAGCAAATATGACTATAGTGTTTCCGTTTTATGGCCAACGGAGAAAGTTCGAACTGGTGTAACTAAACCTCGGGGACAATTCTTAAGCATGCCCAGCAATTGTGTATATGGGTATATGTTGAGTATCTCAACAACTTCCTTGGACTGACCAAGAGACTATATTTCCAGGAAGTAGGTCAGACTATTGGGTGAATCCTGGTTACATGAGTGTATTTGTCTCCTCGTGTCCATCAACGATAGAGAGCCTACATCTCTAAGGGAGGGCCAAACCCTTGTAGCAAGCAAAAATATGTAGTTATATGGACCATTTCCCAAATATGACCCTAGACTACCGAATAGTGAGAAATCAGATTAGCCTAGTGTTAGATGGTCCCTATAGCTATTACGTACGATATGTCAAAGTGATACTTCATTTGTTCGACGTCTTGTTTTCCAGAATTACAGATTCTGTTTTGATACTAATGGCGACCCTACAGCATGTGAAATGAAAGGGGCCATGGCTAACATTGAGCCACAGCCTGGGGCTGAGGTTTGGGGTGTGGTCTGGCGACTGGACAAGGATGACATGGACAGTTTGAACAGGTCAGCAAATAAATGCTAGTACAATACTGTAAAGCATACCTTTAGTTGTGGACCTATGGTATTCTTCCTTATGCAATTATAACAATGTTCTTATACACAGAAATAATACCAGACTTACATCCTCCTTATGATTGTTTTCCATGTATCACTGGGTATTTTTTTTTTTATATATATCTAAATAAATGAAAATTTGAAAAAGCAGATGGACAAGCTCACTCTGGGCACTAGATTACACCTGTACAGAGCGCCTCTCAACTCCCAATTGATAACATTTAGCTCCTGTAATGTAGTTTCATGAAACTATTAATGACTTTTGCCTCTGTGATGTAGATAAATGATCTTGTTATTGATGATGAACAGATGGCCAGCCTTTATAAATTAATATTTCCATTTTCTGTGTGATATTTCAGACAAGAACATGAACACCAACCCCTCACTGTCAAGGTGATCTCCCAGGACCAAGGGTTTGAGTGTCACTGCTTCAAGATGATTCCTCAAACAGTCAAGACTACTTGGGACAAGCGACCTTCGCCTCAATACAAAGAAATCATACTGCTTGGTGCTCGGCAATCCGACCTCCCCACGGAATACACACATGAGCTGGAGAAATGGGACGACAACAATTACCAAGGACAGGTTGACGTCTACGATCGAGTTATGAAAATTATGCAAAATTAATTTTCAAAGAAAAATAACTGAAGAGGGACAACAACAAACTAAAAATAATGCATACCGTTTAATAAGAACAAAATCAAAATTAATACAAGCAATAAAAATTAAGAAAAATATAATTTGCATCACAAGTGTCATTTGTTCTGTTTTTTAAAATCATGAAACTGTTAATATACAGTATCAGCACTATGGCTAATACAACAGAATTACCATAAAACTGCAACTAATGCTAAACCCAATTACTAAAACAAGTGTCAACACTATGGAGCTAAAATAGAATTACCATAGGTTTAAACTTATGCTGAACCAATTACTAAAACAGGTGTCAGCACTTTAGAGCTAAAATAGAATTACCATAGGTTTAAACTAATGCTAAAACCAATTACTAAACAGGTGTCAGCACTAGAGAGCTAAAATAGAAAACCATAAAGTTTAAACTTATGCTAAAACCAATTACTAAACAGGTGTCAGCACTATAGAGCTAAAATAGAATTACCATAAAGTTTAAACTTATGCTTAAACCAATTACTAAAACAGGTGTCAGCACTATAGAGCTAAAATAGAAAAACCAATTACTAAAACAGGTGTCAGCACTATAGAGCTAAAATAGAAAAACCATAAATTTTAAACTTATGCTTAAACGAATTACTAAAACAGGTGTCAGCACTCTAGTACATAAAAAGTCTATCATAATATTAAAAATTTCATTTTAAACCAATTGCTAAAACAGTCGACAGCATTAAAGGGCTAAACTAGAATGACCATTGCATTAGCACTACCACTAAACCAATTGCTAGAACAGTCATCAGCACTAAAGCACTAATTTCAGAAGTTTACCGGATCTAAATTACCCCATCAACCCTCTTTATTTATGATGGAGTTTCTCCCTCCTTTTCCTTACAATTACTTATAGAGTTCATAGTGTTGTGTACCTATGATACTGTAAACAAACCTTAAATATACACTTAAGAATATCATATTAAATATTAATTAGCACAGGTCAAGCTACAAGTACTATTGAAGTCGTGTATAGTCTATATTATCTAGTTCAGGGTATTATTTTCTCTACATTTATTATTGAAATGGGAGAAAATGATGTCACTTAACTGATTTCCCATTTTACACTTAATACAACTGATCAAAATCCTTTCTGTACAGTTCTATTGATATCTAAAATTGCTAAAAAGCAGATTATGTAGATGAACAAAAGATAATTGTTTGTTCATGATATGCTATATTTTCAATTAATGAGTATCCTTAATTAAAATAATGCATGTGTATGTTTTCATAGAAATCCAGTGCATATAGACATTTCCAACATATTTTTGTCAATTATTTATTGTACATTAATAATAAAACAATTCATTACTTACATAAATAAATTATTGGGCCAGGATGGAATTGGGTAATTGATCCCTGACCATCTTGGTGAAAGGTAAGTGACCTAATCAGTAAACACTACACCTTCTGGAGTTGGTATCAAGATAACTATCTTCTATACAGGTTCTTACATCACATCCAGTGAACTGTGCAAGTATGATTTTTGTAATTTTGTAACGTGCAAGCAGGCACCTATCCAGCCGCTGACCACTCTTGATGCTGCTAAACTAGTGAGTATGTCTCAGTGTTATACAGCATTTCTGGAAAAGCGAGCTTGCCAGTAAGGCAGTATTATCCTGTCATATTCCTTGGCTGTGACACTATATTCACCTCCAAGACGCCTCATCCAAAGACTTGGCCTGGGGAATCCCTTAGGTCCTCTGTGTGTACCAATGCACCTTCCCTAACTGCCAGGAACTGGCCTTACAAGGTACCAAATGATCCCACCGCTGCCACCAAGTGAAACATGCATGCGGGCACTCATCCAGCTAAAGACCAAGCTCTACATTGCGGAACTTGTGAGGATAAAATTACATCAGTAGAAGAGTTAGCATGCCAGTAAGGTAGTACTTTCCTCTATTTGGCCGTTACAATTTCAGTATAATATGTACTCTGTTACTTCATCAGACAAATGACCAGTTAAGTGTATGTACAATGTACACTTATTCCATTTAGGAATCCATCAACTGGAGTACGTAGAACCTCACTGAACATTCACTAACATACGTTTAATCTCATTTTCCCTTGAATGTACACTATTATGAGCAAGATGAAAATCAAATCAACATGCCAATCTGGCTATGCTTTAAGCATATGTATCACAATCAAATTGGCAAACTGAATGGCTATGCTTAATGTTCAGTACCTAGTAATAGATGTGCACAGGTTTATTGGCCCATCATCTCTATTTAGAATAGCCCACTGTATTGTATGCAGATCATACTTTGCATAGTTTACTGATGTTGTCCTTTATTTGCCAGTGGTACAGGTTTCTCTCCTTGTCCACCACTTTGAGTTATCATAGTCAATTATATGATTTTGTTGTGTGGCATAGTCGCTGCTGATTAATTTATCTTGTACTAAACTTCCTTTCTGACCAGGTGAATTCTTTTACTACTCGGTTTCAGTGTCATTACTGAGTCCAACAAGTCAGACACCATTAACTGCCTTCCAGTCTCTCCAACATACCAAACTTCACATTTTTAGTACACACATCTGTGATGTTTTCTTAAGGTGTTTCATCCTTGGCATGTACTAGGATGATTCAGAGCATCTTGAGGGGCTTCACAGTTGTTGCTATACCATGGTCACAATATATCTAGGATGGTTAAAGCATAGATGAAACAACTTGTCATGTCATACACTTTTAACGCGTAAATGTACATACACATGTACTATAAATGCTTACCGGTCATTTGTCTGATAAAGGTGATAGAGTATATATCGTACTATTCATCAAATGTCGCACATAAACAGTTCACTGGTTGTGCTATATGAACCTTATACAATACATATATGGGTACCTTTCTGAAGATTCTTTTTCAAAAATGGCAACCATGTGTTTACTTCCGCTGCAAATACAATTGTATGTAAACAGTTACCAGTGGTTATTCACACCCTAACATCAGCAGAATCAATGTATATTTACTACATTGTACTGGGTTTCAGTGTCATTACTGCTTTCCAGTCTCTCCAACATACAATGCTTCACATGTTTTGCATCCAACTTAGAACATATATTCTGTGATTATTTTCTCCGGGTGTAATATCCTTAAGTCAAACAGAACTAAGATATTTTGGAGTATCTTGTGGAGCTTATTGGTTGTTGCTATTCCATGGCTGCAATAATTCTATAGGATAGTTAAAGCATAGATAAATTGACTTGTCAATTAAATGGTCATCTCGTACACTTTTTTCACCTAAGTGTACATATTATAAATACTTTACTGGTATTTTTTTCTGATAAATCTGACAGAATACATATCATACTAAAGGCATCAAAGCATCACACATAAATGTTTCACTGGTTGTTCTATATTAACCAGTTTAATATATATATAAATATATATTTGTACCTATCTATTGTTCTATATTAACCAGTATAATATATATATAAATATATATTTGTACCTATCTGTTGTTCTATATTAACCAGTATAATATATATATAAATATATACTTGTACCTATCTATTGTTCTATATTAACCAGTATAATATATATATAAATATATATTTGTACCTATCTGAAAAAAATCCTTCAAAAAATACAATTATGCATTTACCTACTTTTAAAATACAATTGTACGCTAACAATTACATGTGATTATTCATAGCCTTACATCAGAAACTGTACCAATGAATATACCGCATTTTCAACAATTCAACAACTACCCACATGAAGCCTCTCAGCATCACTTTTTCAACAGTGTATAAATCCTAAACAAGAGAGGTGAAAAAACTTTTCAAACAAATTATTGCTATGAGACATATATTACATTTTGATCTAAAAGCTCAATCATAAATGAATGCTCTGACTCTTTCCTTGAATAACATGCAACAGGAAATATAAGTTTATAGTTTGCAATGTATATGAATTAGTGTAAAACAGATAATGAGGAAGGTACTACGATTATAATACTGCTAAGATTATGATAATCACAAAATAAGTATACTTAAAGTAAAAAAAAAAAGAACAAGAACAAAGATACAGGTGGGACTAAGAGGAATGCGTCGGATTAAAAGACAGATGGTACCAATAGATATGGAGAAATGGATGGGACTTAGATTTATAGGAAGTGGTAGAAATATGTTTTTATGAAAAAAAAAATGTATATATACATTTCCAGTTTCTCTGTCCTATTATTTGGCATTATTCTGTATATTCTGGCTACTATTATGACTTGTCCTTAGTTCTATTTTGTTTCTCCAAGCATTTTCAGCACATCCTCATAAACTTTCACACTACCCTGATAGCCATTATCGGGGATGTTCTGTAGAAAGTTGAGGTAGTCGTGGGGCAGTTGTAGCCCCTTGGCTCCTCGTAGGATCACATCCTTGTAGTGTGGCGATGGTCGACTGTCATAGGCAGGATTGCCAGTCTTATCCAGTTTATAGGTACGACAGACGACCTCCTGACCTTCAGGATAGACGACCTTTACATCAAACCCTCTGTAGATACCCTCTTGTCTGAAATCATTTGAACAAATGAGTCTCACAGTGCAACAAAATAGTGTGAAATAAAGATAATTTTCCATCACAAAAGATATTATTTACCATTTCTGATGATTATTTTTTAGTAGATTTGTTTCAATTTATTTATAAAAATCATGTGTAATCATTTTAGAAAAGATTTGAAATTATAAAGTTCCTGTCCTAATCTCTTTGTCTGAGGCTGTGTATATATCTTATTTACATAAGTGCTGGATTTTTTTAGCTGTTTCAATAGCTGCATGACTTATAGAGGAGAGCAACGATTCTGGCATAGCAGTGACAAAATACACAATACTATTGATTTCTGATATTGTTATTCTGACTGTTCTAATATCTATGCAATAATTACCTGCAATTCAAATGCAAGAGTTATGTATATGTGAGAAGATACAGTTCTATATCTTCTATGATCTTTATGAAGAAATAGTGATAATGTTAATAACGAGGAAGACACAGGAAGAATGATGATTTAACTAGCAGGTGCTTACGTAGTCCAAGCTGTCGTGAGATGCAGATGGTACAGCTGTGTCAATTAATGCTTTACTTATTAAACGTTTAACTGCCTTTCATTACATTTTTACTGTTAATGTATGAAGTTTTATTATTATTATGTAGTTGATAAGTTTCTAAGTACTACTAATTGAACAATAAGAAAGATCATGGCTAAAAAGTGAAATAGCAAACAATTGCCAGTGAGTATTATCATTGTGGTACTACACTATTTCCTAGCATTTTCTTTTTGTGATATTCATTGTTTGAACATTTCTTTCAGCTAAAATGGATTATTTGTTAACGAGAGCCCTTATAATCTTTCCTTATAAAGAAAAAAAGTAATAAACAGAATGAGAATATTCTTGGTTTCTTGGTAAATAAAAGTAATATTCACTCAGGGGTAGAATATTTTTTCATATTTCTCACTCATGTTACACAAGATTTTTTTTTCGATTCTTACTTATCTAGATTAGGAAGATCTTTTAAATCCAGTTCCCACACTGCACCCCACACATTGGCTCCTGTCTGCTCCTCGATGGTAGCAATGCTGCCATGCCATCGACTGTTGTCAGGATCCTGAATAGCTTCAAACTTTAATCTATAATCCTAAAAAAGAAAAAAAATGTCTATGAGATTGTAGCAGGGGGCACCCTCTTCCCAGACAATTAAACAGTAAATAATTTGTGTTTAATTGATGTCTTTATAAAACCTTGATGCTATGACATATCAACCCAACATAACGATTGCTATTGTCTTTTCAAGACAGCATTTAGAATAGAAACTTGATATCATTTTAACACAATTTCCTACTTGTATAAATATTTTGTAACAGGAGCAGAAAAATTGCACGGCTAGACCGGTATTTGAACCTGGAACCATCCGCCTACATTCGTCCCTCCTTTTTCTAAGTCTTCGACCCCAGAGACACAACTATAAGCAACCCAGGGTAACCCCTCATCAAGTATTCACCTAGTACTTGAAACAAGGGTTGGTCACAGGCACCAAATATAACAGGAGTGGGAAAATGCACGGCCAGACCTGGGACCCTCACTGTCGAATGCCCACAGAACTATACCTGCTTACCATCAATCGACCCATTACAATTTGGGTACAAATTCATAATAATTTAACGACATTATCGAAGCCTCACTCTTATTCAAATGCATAACTCTCCTGGTTGGATTTTTTCTTTAGACATTGCACCCTTATGAGATATGTTTCTATACTAAATCATTAGAGTAATGTGTCAGTTACCTTTAAGCTTGCAATAGACTTAAACTCAGCAGTTGGATTTCTAAGTAAGAGGCGTTCCTTCAGCAGGTTGCTCCCATAGGCGAAATAAGTAAAGGTATGTGCACTCATTGTTGTTTAAATAAGTTGATTCAAATCAATCAAGAGACATCAGACAGAAGCCTGTTTGTTTGGGGTTGATGTCCTCCCAACAGCTAATTAGGTCCTATAAAGAAAGTGACACAGAGGTCTAAAATAAAAATAAAACTATGTCACATATTACTAAATTCAGTGCAAAGTGAATAAGTCCATTCAAATGCATACACACATTTATTAAAATATTTTATAATTACCTCAACTAGAGCATAATAAATTAAAACCCTGTCTCGACCAATCAAAGGCCAAGGCAGGTATCTGGGATTTCAAATGTGCCAGAGATTCTTTACACCAACTTTTTGCTAACATTTGCTATAATTATCTAACCTGAAAGTGAATGATTATCATTTTAAAGATTTACCTCTATTTCTCTTACTGGACCCTGCTATTTCACCCATTTTTTTTAATGATGTAATTTGTACTTGGTTGGGACATTTTAGGTATACAAGATTTTTAAAAAAAAATACCATTGGTAATTTCTTAATAACAATCATCTGAGTAATTTAGCAAATTATAATGTTTTTACGAAAGAAAGCATAGGTTACAGTATGAATAACACAGGCACAGAACATGTCCAACATTTTCAGACTTGTGCCTTACGGAGGAACAATTATCACTATAGATCAGGCTTCTTTTGTTTACTAAAGTCTGTTGATAAATAAAAGAAGAAATTTTTAATTCCACAAATTTTACCCATTTTTTGCTCTTTTATGCACCCCTGGAAGAGGACAGCCTTTTTTCTTCTGATAATTAAACATTAAATTTGGTTGTTATTGGCAGAATGGTTCTTGAGAAGTAGTTCAAAGAAAATGTTTATGAACAGACAACAGTGGCGATAGTATATGATTTAGCTCATTTGGCTAAATTAGCTCACTTAAAAGGTAAAATGGCCAGACATAATTTTCCACTATAATTTTGATATAGCCTCAGGTCACCCATATTTACAGTTTTAATATAGATTTTTTTTTTTATATTTTGATAAATTAAAAAAAAAAAAAAGTTTGCAAGGATGGCTGTTTTTGTTGTTGTTAGGCCGATGAAAAATGACTGCTATATGATTATGTGTTTTACATTAATAATGGCACAAGAAGGTTGTAATAACATAGATTTGGCCCGATAAGAAGTGTACAGTACTCTACTCACCGGAGTCGTTTCCAAGGGTCACCTGAAAAATGTGTCATATCACAAAGTCAGTCACTATTTCTTAAACAAACAGCTATATATGACCCAACATGTCTACGTTTTGAACATGATAACAAAAAAATCACAGAGGTTAACATATAGGATGCATGCAGGATGCATCGATAATTCGGATTCGTTGATTCCGTTATCAGATTTCAAGTTTAGAATTCCCCAAATAATCATAAAAACGCTTGAAAAATACGTAAAAAAAAACCTGTATCAAGAGCAACAGGCACGTAGATTATTATTTCCGCCTCGTGGTTCGGAGTCAGCTGAAGTTCGTTGTTTGTAAATTGTTCATACAAAACTTACTGATAATGTATCTGATGTATTACCTCAACGAAAAGGGAGACCGAGTTTACACATTGAAGGTAGCTATTGTATGATCTAAATAATAATCGTAAACATGTGTTATTTAACTACGTCACCGTTACAATGCCAATGGGAAGATGAACTAACAAAATGTAACGTGTACGTATACGGTGTTATAGATCTACTTCCATGCCGTCACACTAAACTATCACACACAATATTTAAAAATACCAATTATTCATGTTGCTATATCACACCACAGGGTCTCGTTACAAATGTCTGAAATACACATATGCTATACCGATATGGGTCACAACACACATAAACATACGTGTATGTTTATGTGTGACCCATGCCATTATCAGTATAGCATATGTGCATTTCAGACATTTGTAACGAAACCCTGTGGTCACACCCGTATATCAAGTGCAACAGGAAAGAGAACAGTGTGCTTCCACCGAAGATTGAACCAGCGATCTCCAGGTTCCTAGTCGGACGCTCTACCACTGGCACTGATGAGCTTAAGGGAAATTCCCTAGATAGCTCGTAGGCGACCGTAATCCTATGTACAATAATAATATGCCACACTACCCCCCCCCCCTTTTTTCAATGTGTTCGCCCTCGAACACAACAAGCCAGGTTCTAACTCCCTGTCACCACAGGGATGGCCACAGACACCATTTGTAAACAGGAACGAGAATAGTGTGCATCCACCAGGGGTCAAACCCTCGATCTCCAGGTTCCTAGAAATTCCCTCTAGCTCGTTGGCGACCGTAATCCTATGTACAATTAAAAAACTGCCACACAAGTTTTTTATATTTGAAAAAATAATAAAAAGGTAAGATGAATTAAGTTTTTACGAGTGACAGCGTGTCACACCTGTATATGTATATCGTCCCATGTGTATTAATACACGCAGTTAAAATACTTCAACCTTTCAACTGATACATGTGACATGCCGTTGATTGTAAAAAATAAACAGAAAACGTGTACATATAAATTACATTGAAGACATATATTTAAAACAACATATATGTTCTGATGTCGCTTATTTATATTACTAGTGATACATTCTGCAGATCCTTTGTGATCTCAAAAGCTACCGAACACTTAAAAAGTACATATATTGGAGGTGTATATATAGTACTAATATTAATACCTGGCCTCCTCTGCCCAAATCTCTCATCGTCAGAAAGCTACATTATCACAGCTAGTGTATATATAGTTCATAGATTGGAGTTACCTCCCCAATTTATGGAGTTATTCCCCTTTCTTGAAAAAAGTATTGCTCAAACTACACCTCCCAAAGTAGTACTGTACGGCTTTGAATGAAACTTGGTACACATACTACTTATATTGAGGGGATGTTAATAAACTATATATAGACTGGATTTACCTCCATATTTATGGACTTAGCCCATTTCTTTCATAGAATTATTTGCAACACATCTTCCTTAGTACTGCATCAATTTGATTGATACTTCATACATAGGCATCCCTGAATTGAATATACCTGCTGATACCAACTTCATGAATGTAAGATCCATGCAACTGATGTGGAGACCCCTCCCACAGTACTGCACAGATTTCAATGATATATGGTAGACATAACCTTTACATAAGAGGGGGTGAATAAAGTATATAGACTGGAGTTACCTTACAAATTTATGGAGTTATGCCCCTTTGTTGAAATTCATTGTTCAAATTATTCCTCCCAAATTACTGCACCAATTTTAAATTCTGTTTGGTACACATAATGCTTAAAGGCTCGGCTCTTACAAAGTGACAAATATTGGAACCCCTCCTAAAGTACTTAACCGATATCATGATTTATACTTCATACAGGGACACCCAGCAATTTTGTACCAGAATTTAGTTTTTCACTTCCAGACCTTTGTTTAATGGAATCATGCCCCTTTCTTCAAATAATTTTGATAGAAACATAATCGAAACCACATCAAATGCGTGATTACCCTAAGAGATCATATTATCAACTTGCAATGAAATATGAACCATGTTTTGGTTTTAAAAGGCAATAAAGCCAAGAATTAGAATACATATGACAGAAAAAGTCATACCTGTCTGATCAAGTCAAACTTGTCCAAAGCTGCCATATATATTGTACAGTTTGATGGCCAATGGCCAAGTGTCACATGATCAAAGGCTAATTATATATAATAATTATAATGCAAACTAATTTTTAACCATTGACTGAGGTTTGATAGAGTGTAAGGAAAGACAACTCTGGTTAGAGATTTGAAAAAACACTGTAGTGAGACAGGGATCCTTAATGGAAACATAGCTTATTTTGTTTGACCTAATGTTATCATAATTTGTCAAAAAAAAGTGTGGACAGACCAGAAAAAAGATATAAATAAAATGTACCCATGTTCCATTTTGAATCTTTTTACAGAGAGAAGATCCTAAGGGAAAGCCTACTATTTCTGCCCACCCGGCGAGATTCTCCCCAGATGATAAATACTCCAGACATCGGGTAACAGTCAAGAAGAGGTTCGGAATTCTCCCAACACAACAGCCAAAGCTTGTGTATTGATTCAAAGTTTGCAGAGGACAGATATCAAGATTTTAGGAAGAACGTTACAGGTTGTAATGTCTGCTGTGCAGTATGTCGAAAGGAATCAAACATTCTGTGTCTCACAATTAAAAATTACTGAAGTTGTTCAATTAGTGTTTTCACATAAATCAGGAACAGTTGGAGAACAGATCTTGGCAAGATTATAAGATACAAACCCATTATCATTTTGTTGTCATTACAGCGGTATTAAACTTATTTCTGATGAGTGGACAAATTATTCAGATTATATGGAAAAAAGGAAATGGATGAACTCCAGACATTTCATTTTGTGGAACAATATACTGCAGTTACTGAACTTTGTACAGATATTATGAAGCTGTTTTAGTATTTAGTTTAAAAATATTTGTTGCAGCCGACATTAAAATACAGTCAGCTTTGTTAATCCAGTCACCATCTGGTTGTTCCACTATCCAGACAGTTTTAAAGGAGACAGGTGAACATTTTCTTGTACAAAATCATTCTTAGTAATTCTATCTTCTCATGATGCAGCCACCTTTACTGAGAACTGACCTGAAGATGGTTGGATTATCAGGGTTTCTTTGTATGCATTACTGTAGGTGGTTTAGTTAAGTTTTTTATAGTTACATGTACCATTAAGATTTCTCATTCGTGGTTCAATCCATGCCATAAAGTAATAAATAATGTAAACTACATATTTCACATTGTGGTATATTATTATTTTTCTGCATTCTAGAGAAAATATAACCTTCATAAGAGAAGTTTGGTGTTAATTTTAGAAAACATGACTACACCATATATCATATAAAGGCTAAATGATACATTTATAGAAGCTTGTTAGTAAATTTGTAATACTAGTTCAATATTGGGAAAGTACATACTTTTTGGTTTATTATGAAATACAAATGTACTAATTATCAACTGGTATTCAATCCTTTACAATTCATGGCCAACAGAGTTCTCAGAGCTCGCTCAACATAAAAAAAAAATGACATTTTGTATATCCTCTTTTCAGAGATTTAAACATTTATTTACTTACAAGTCTTAAGTGGACACAATTTTCTCCCACCCTTCACAGGTGTCTCCCTTTTAAGCCAGAAAAGATCAGCTTGTCACCCCCTAGGGGGAGGTAGCCTTGTGCAAAACGGCGCGATCTAAGTCATAACAATTGTATAACATCATATCACATCAACAGTAGCAGACCATGGAAAACAACTCTGGATTTGCTGGAAAAAATATGCAATCAACACTTGCCGGCAGATTGTCAGTGAAACAGGATGGGAGAAAAACAATACCTTGAGGGTGTGACAGAGAAATCTGCAACCCTAGGCCTCAGGATGATATTCTTGAGTGTCTTAACCCCAAGCCAGAGGTAAGATTCGAGAATATCATCCCTCAGGTTGGAGATTTCTGTCACACGCTCAAGGTAGGGGAAGATACAATTAGACACAGATGATTAGACATGTTGTACCCTAAAATCTCCATAATTAGCCACAACTTCTTTTCATTTCTAGTAAGGAATCTCTGTCTTTTTTTGAGGCAGGCTTATTTTCAAAGTCATTTAGACAGTTTGCCATCAATGAGTTATTTTCAACTTTTCCTTTTTCACTTGGAAAAACATAGTGTCATACAGATTTTTCAAGAAAACTTTTTTCTTTATCAAATCATGTTATGTGAATATTTCATGTGAATCAGACTTACTATTAAGATTTTCGGGAATATGTATGAAAACAAAATGTCCACCTGTGTAAAAGATGTGCATTGGTTAAATAAAAAAAATAAAAAAAATATATATAACATTTTATATAGCGCCCTATCTAGCTAACATAAGCCTCTCTAAAGCGCTTTACAGTACATAGATATACAATTGTATTCAGTCAATACAATTAGCATATATATATTAATCAATACAATATTGAGGAATTCGCAGGAGCTGCCTTATCAGGCGCTAACTACTAGTCCTATGCCACCTGGCTAATACCTCCCTATGTGTGTATGCCTGTGTGTGTGCTGGAGATGTATTGTGTTCTGTTTGTAGTGGGACCGTGCTTCCAACGGTATCATTTATAGTGCCACCTCGGCACAGATACCCGACACCCATCCCAGACCATTTTAAAGGCAGGAGAAAAACACTTTCTCTAATATTCCATGCGTACGGCGACTTCGGGGATCGAACCCCGGCCACCTGCTTGGAAGGCCGGAGTGTTAACCATCCGACCAATCCGCCCATTAGGTTGCCTTACAAGCATCAGCTGTAGGTAATTTCCCTTTAGCTCAGTCGTAGAGCATTAGGCTGGAGTGCCAAG